AAGCGCTAGTTCACCTTTTTAATCTTGACTGGCGTTGACGTCTTCATCCTTGTTTCCACTTGTAGTTATAAAGATACTAACCACAAGAGAGTAAATGAAAGAAGTGATAGTCATTGGTGCATTTTATTACTGTTTATTATTTTTATTCATCTCCTCTGTTCACATGAAGTAATGTCTTCGCTGCCTGCCTCTTCTGACCGCTTATTGGTTTTCGTTTGTAGCTCTTCGAGTTTTTATGTTACACTTAGACATAAAACATTCGTGAAGGTCATTTCTACTACAGTTTGTTTGTCCGTCCGACGTATGTCTGTCTTCTCACTCCTCACAACAATTATAAATATCATCGATGAAATTAGGCAGCCTTGTCTTACCTCTGTCCTCTTTTCAAAGGATTAGCTATGTTTTTTTTATATAGGAGTTGAATAAGGTTTATAACGGTTTGGGGCATCATCATGATAGTAATAGGCCTGAAAACACAAGTGTTTATATGACGTAATTGTCTTCGTGGTGATTCGTCAGTGCAATTTAATTATGTACTTCCTTACGTACTAGCTGCTCCTTGATATTGATAATGGTTGTATGGTCACTATGACCATTTAAATTTGTTGATACAATGAAATGTGACATCACTTTTCAACATATACTCTAAGGGCTTAGATGGATATATATAGACTTCATGTTCTCAATTATTAGTATCTTGGGTGCATAAAATGTCTTCAATATAAATTCATTCAGATAACTAATTGTTTCAAACAGTGTTTCTGTTCTATTTTATTCCTGTAGTTTATTATTATTGTTATTGCTTTCTTGGGTTCCTAGTGGAACATAGGGCTTCAACTGCATGTCTCCACTTGCTTCTGTCTTCTGCTGTACTTTTCACCTCCATCCATGTTAGTCCATACTGTTTCAACTCCTCTACACACGATCTTCTCTCTGTCACCCTTGCACTGACGTCCCACTCGCCGCTTCCCTTTCGGGTTCCACTCGAGGGCTTGAAGCGCGATGTCACCCAGAAGTCTCCTCAGCGAGTGTGCGATCCATCTCCACTTTCTCCTGCATATTTGTTGGTTGGCGATTGGTTCTTGTTTTGTTTGTTTGTTCCCATAGTTTCTTGTTGGTGATTCTTTCCGGCCCGGCCATCTGATCTTCAGTATAGAGCCAGCGAAGACAGTTGTTGATAAAGGTCTGCATGCAACAGGCTGTTGGAAATATTCTTTGTGACCCTCCCGCCAAGTTTCTGATCCGTATAGAAGAACTGACTGACTTGACGTTGTTTGTATTGAAAATCCGACCGAATTTTGTTGTTGATGCTGAGTGACGAAGATTTCCAGATCGATTTCAGGTTGATGAATGTGTTTCTCGCCTTCCCGATTCTCGCTCGATTTGACATCCTCGTCCGTTCCGACTCCTGTAGTTGAGACAATGCTCCCTAGATAAGTGAAGTAATGAAGTAACCTCTTTCAAATCCCTCCCGTTGATGGTGATTGACGCTGGATGTTGCTGCTGTTGTTGTTGGTTGGTTATTTTCATAACCTCCGTCTTGTCTATGTTCACTTGGAGTCCTGTCTTCGCCGGCTGCTTCTTCGACCAGTTTGTCGGTTTTCGCTTGTAAGTCTTCGATTGTGTGTGACATCAAACATAAATCATCCACGCGCGAAATCCAGGTCTTCTAGGTTCTTCACGTCGGTCCAGGATATTCCTGTCTTCTCGTTTCCCACTGTCTGACGCATAATCCAGTAGTCCACCACAATTAGGAATATCATTGGTGATAATAAGCACCCTTGTCTGACTCCTGTGTTTACTCCAAACGCCTCGCTGAGTTTTCCGTTGTGGATCACTTGACATGTGCCGTTGTCGTACAGCTGTTGAATAAGGTTGATGAATATTTGGGGTACGCCATAGTACTCGAGTAATTTCCAAATTACTTCACGGTCAACGCTGTCGAAGGCCTTCTCAAAGTCTATAAAGTTGAGGTAGAGGTTTGATTGCCATTCCATGCTTTGTTCTGTGATGATGATGATGCGTAGAGTTGCAATTTGGTCAGTACATGATTTGCCTGCTTTCCTGAATCCAGCTTGTTCTGGTCGGAGTTCTGTCTCCAGTGCGTCCTTTAATCTCTCCAGGATGATGCGACTCAGGATTTTACTTGGCGTCGACAGGAGCATGATTCCTCGCCAGTTCTTGCAGAGTCCTAAGTCGCCCTTCTTTGGTAGTTTCACGAGGTAACCTTTCCTCCAGTCAGTAGGCACCTTTCCTTCCTTCCAGACCTTTTGCAATAATGGAGTCAGCATGTCTGCTGTAGTCTCTGGGTCCGCTTTCAGTGCTTCAGGGGGTATTCCATCTGGTCCAGCTGCTTTTCCAGCTTTCAGAAGCTTGATTGTATTCAAGACTTCAGCTCTCGTTGGAGGATTGGTGTCAACTTGCAGTTGTGTGCGCGCTGTTGTTGGTATTTCTGGACGGGTTGCAGGTGATGGTCGGTTCAAGAGTCCTTTGAAGTGATCCGCCCATTGTTTAATCTGTTTTTCTTCCTTGGTAATTGGGTTCCCTTGGCTGTCTTTTATAGGTTTCGCTTGTGTTGATCTCTTCCCGGATAGAGATTTGGTTATCTGATATAGTGTCCTCAGGTCCCTTTTGCCTGCTGCCTTCTCAGCTTCAGTGGCGAGGTTGTCGTAGAATCGTCTTTTGTCCTTCCTAGCACTCTTCTTCACTTCTTTGTCCAGTGCTGTGTAAGTTGAGCTCAGCGTCTCCTTCTCCTGTCCGTCCTTGCATTGAATCATTTTCTCTTTCACCATTCTCCTCTCTTCTATTAATTTCCAAGTGTCCGTTGAGAGCCATTCCTTGTCTTGTCTCTTCTTTCTTCCTAGAACCGTTGAACACGTTTCGTTGAGAATCGCCTTCAGAGACTTCCAATGTTCTTCCACGCATGATTCTTCAGTGATGTCGCGTAGTGTTTCCTGCTTTGCTCTGACAGTTGCAGTGAAAGTGTCTTTTGTGGTTGTGTCCTTCAGTAATTGAGTGTTGAACTTGCATTGTGGCCTATCCCCAGCTATCCTCGAGGCTTTCACCTTGAAAGTTTCACCTTGAAAGTCCCTTGTACTAGATAGTGGTCTAAACCCACATCTGCTCCTCTCCTCAACCTTGTGTCCAGTAGGCTTCGTCTCCACTTTCTTTTTTATTTTTATTTTATTTTTTGATTTACAGCTTGATTCCACACTGTATTTTTGGTACAAGTATGGAATTTTCAGCATGGATATCGGTAGCCCAAATTTTGCAGGCCGACCATAGATATCAGGTGTGCGCCGGCGTGGGCTCGAACCCCGGACCATATGCATGGTCGGCGACAGTCCTAACCACTGTGCCACCGACGCATCTTGAAATTTAGATGAAGTCTATTTGGTTCTTGGTGTTTCCATCTGGTGAAATCCATGTCGCCTTGTATATTTCCTTGTATGTGAACACACTGCCGAGGGCCTCAGGACCCATGGTAAGTTCTCTTCCTGTGTTGTCTCCTCCCAGCTTCGCATTCATATCACCCATGAGGATTTTGATATCGCCATTCGGGATGTTGTCCATTATTGTTTGTAGTTGTCTGTAGAACGCCTCTTTCTTCTCTTGTTCTGAGACGTTTGTAGGCGCATAGCATTGGATGATTGTACCCTTTCTTCCTTCCTTTCGAGTTGATCCTGGCTGTAATTATCCTGGAGGAGATTGGGTCCCAGTACATGAGAGCTTTGGCTGCTGTTGGTGACATCATGATGGCCACTCCCTCGGTGTGTTCGTGGTTGTCCTCTGGGTGACCGGAATAGATTATTGTCTCTCCAGTAGGTAGTTGGCACCTTCCAGTTCCGTTCCATCTGCTTTCGCAGATTCCCAACACTTCTATTCTATACCTTCCATTTCAGCGGCTATCTGGGCAGCCTTTCCAGTTTCGTACATTGTATGAACATTCCAGGTAACTATCCTTATTTTTGCTTTCATTGAAAGAAGGCACATCGGCTGACTGGCTTCCCGAAGGCTGTCACCAGTCTGGGTCATTTCACTTCCCCGATTCCAGTGAAAAATAAGGCTATTGTTTATATTTTTAGAATTTTCAATGTAATTGCGTGTTGAAGTTTCTGTAGCGATTTGGTTGAGTTTTATGGGGGTGAAGTTGCTAGCAACACGCCCCACCCCTCCCTCTTTATCCGGGCTTGGGACCGGCAAGATAACTAGCGAGGTAGTAATCTGGGCGAGGTTATTCCTGTAGTTAGAGATAACTTCTTATTATTGTCATTAAAACACAAACGTGTTACATCATGTGCATCAAAAGACATGCCACACAAAACCTCATTATTTGCGTGATTTGATTGCCAGGGTTTGATTGCCAAAATAATTATCACAGCTGATAGTTGTCAAGCTTCTGAAATGAATTAATTTTCATGATTTGGTTTGCAGGAACTTGATGGATTTCACGTTTCATCACAAACTAACTCTAATTAAGGAAGCATTTAAAATTATGAAATACTGGACAGCTGTCTGACACTCTCCATCAGCACGCACCCATAAACCCACCAGAGATTGAACCCAGTACACCCATGTTAGGTAAACCATTTAGCCAGTGAAACTAAGTCCAGAGGAATGTTCATTATTTCTAAATTCTACCAGTTCAGGATACATAGCACGACCACTGGTTTGGGATCATAGGTGCATATCGCTGAAAGATCCCTGTCAAGGACGAAATAGCTTCTAGCACACCATGGTTTTCAATGGTTCTCTAACTGGGGCCATGTTGTTGTTAGAACGAATTAACTTTTGAGGGCTGACTGATGTTCAACAATGTCGATTAATTAACTACTCTCAGCTAAACATGTAACATCAAGCTGAAAGTCAAGGCAACATGCGAAGACATGTATCACTTCAAGGGACCCATACGATCAAGAAATATCAGTCTAATAAAATCAATTACATCAAAATTTGAAGTACAAACTAATAGCATGTAATTAACACAAAGGTTTACATACCTCCATAATTCTTGTCTCTTTACATGGTGGATTTATCGCTTGAATTTCATACGACTGAAATACTTTTAATCTTGTCAATGAAGGCAGTAGATCAATTGAATTGCCTTCCTACAAAACAAAATAAAACAAAAAGAAATTAAACATGAATCAACTTTCAAGGAACTATTAAAAGTTCTGGAAGAGATTTGAATACTGTTCCACACAGTTTGCTGTCAGATGATTAACTAATTTTAAAGTGGATGTCACTAAGAAACGACATCATTTCGAGAAGTATTTAAAACGAAGGAACAATTAACGATCACTTTGTTCCAGATTCAGAGTCTTCAACAGTACACATCCACAACCTCAAGGGGGATTAAACCTAGGACCTTCAATTCACTTCACTGGACTGTTCAGCATATAAGCAACGTGGTGCTATCCAAAGATTGCTGGATGTATCTTGAAATCAGTCAATTATGTTTACACACAATAAAGAATTCCCGAAGTTACTTCTAGCAAAATATTTCCTCCCTGTATGGAAGCTTCGAGTTAAATTACTCATTGACAGTATAATTTACAACGCGACGTAATTCAGTCTAGAACAAAACCCATTTCTCTACATTTTTCCTTCATTTTCTTCTTGAAATTCACAGAGGTAGGTTGGAAGCCAATTTAAAATGTGCGCGAGTTCATGTTGCGATTCAAAGATACAATTGGAGGATTAAAACAACAAAAAGAAAAGATGGAAAAGGAGAATCATTATGCAGAATGGGAATTTAGGTATCCCAGTGTTTCATCCAGGCCTCCAGAAACTTCTTGAGCAGATTTCACTTTACATTCATAAATATAGTTTGAATTCTGTGAGATATGGTGACAGAACTAATTGACACGAAACTATTAAACACTCTAATCGAATGTCGGACACTGAAGTCAGTCGACATGCCATTAGTAAATTACCTAATTGATTCTCTAATTAGTTTTTGCTTTCAAATGATTCATTCGCCTATCAATTCCTTTTTATTCTGAGAGAAATTTACGGCACTTAAAGATAACAAGCACAGTAGAAATAATTTCCGACTCAATAATTTTTTATCGCATTCAGTTTTCATTTTTATAGTATTAATCTCAAGTTAGATAGAAATAATATCCTTGAGGTGATGTAATAGTTTAATTACAGTTAGATGATGGTAACAGTATGATATTTTCTATAAACCTTGATTGTACTACTATTATTATTATTATTCCCTCGAGTTCCAAGTAGTACAATGGCTGTAGAAGCACATCTCCATTCCACCCTGTTACCTCGACTGCGCGAATATCTCCATTTCCTCCTCACACCATCCTCTCTATATTACTCTAGTAGTGATACCCAACTGGCTGTTTCTCATTCAGGTTTCATTAGATGGTCTGACACATGATTTCACTCCCCAGCGTATATCAAATCCATTTCCATTTTCTTCTGGAAATTTGTTGGAAGATTGGTTCCTCATTGATTTTTTGTCAGAGGTTTTTATTTTTTTTATTTTTGATTTACAGCTTGATTCCACACTGTATTTTTGGTACAAGTATGGAATTTTCAGCATGGATATCGGTAGCCCAAATTTTGCAGGCCGACCATAGATATCAGGTGTGCGCCGGCGTGGGCTCGAACCCCGGACCATGTGCATGGTCGGAGAGAGTCCTAACCACTGTGCCACCGACGCACAGTGGTATTTCCTTTCTGACAAGTTATCTGATCTTCAGTATCGATCTAGAGAAGGCAGCTATTTATGAACGTCCGTAACAGGTTGTTGGAAATTCTTTTCGGTAACGACTCTGCTATATTTTTGACCCATATAAAAGCGCTGACTCGATAGTAATGTTGATAACACAAATCCTGTTGCTTATCCTGAATGCAGCAGATTTACACACAGCCATGAAGGTCGGTCATTCTTTCTCGATTCTACTTTTAACATCCTTATATATACTGTCAGTAGTTGATATAATGCTGCCTAGATCAGTGAAAGAGGTTTAGACTTATCTTTTTATCCTACCTAATGTCAAAATACGTTAAAACCACTCTCAACAAATTTATACCACACAGCTGAACAACTTTGAAGTCTGCATTTATGGCTTAACCTCCAGCTTTGAATAATGTTTGTATACAATGTATTTTTGTACAACATATGTCGATTGTTCTTGCCGGCTTCTAACAATCTGTCTTCTGTGTAATTGTTTTGGTCTGCGAGCTCACCTTGTTACCAAAAGGGCCTTGGTCCGAGCCCCCGATGAGTGCATAATTTAAAGAGTCCCAGACTGGGTTGATGAAACAGCTGTCCAGTTCTCCTAACTGGTTTTCCAATGGTTCTCTAACCGATATTAGCTCATGATGAAATCCTGTAACCAGTCTATCGATTCCCCACAAACCAATAGCTGAATGTTATTGTTTCCTTGGACTCTAGAGGGTTAGAAGCGATTGGATATAAATATTGGTATTCAGTCTTCAGACAAGTTGTCTATCACCTATCCGTATCAAACCCTAATAGCAGCATTATTACTGGTGGAAATCACATCGAACCTGAGTAGCAGTACTCTTATCCTTCATGAGAAATTTCATAACGGAAATAGGATCGTATGGTCAATAACAGGCCGGTCGTTCATATCAAATTATGGCATCACTGAAACAGTATTACTGCAGTTCATATGAAGTTCGGCGAAAGCACTGCAATTATTTGATCGATAGTTGATTTAAAAATTATAGTACATTAATGCTAATGTTAAATACATTGCGCTTTGTGTTATTTTAACGCCGCACTTAAATAGCTTCAAAACCCTGGAGCTCGATACGTAGATTACAAAATCTCTAATAAAGTCAGCGAAGGAAGTGTTTTCGGTATATATGCCGAACACTGAAGACCGTTTTCAATACAGGTTTTGTTATGAACCGAGGAGATCCACACATCTAGGTTTAGGATTCTTCAGGAGTGTTCACCTATGACTCCATCCAATCACCTTGAGATTATCAGGTGAGATTGCTGACCATTACTGATGCTAACGCTGGATTTTTATCCTATGACCCGCCAATTCGTGATACAGCGCCATAGTCAATCAGTTTCAACAGTTTGCCACATCGGCAAAAAAACATACCACCTTTAGTCGATAAATATTTGAAATACTCATAAATGTTGCTTTAATTATGCAAAAAAGAAGACATGAATGCATAATACTACTCATCAGTAGGTTTTTCGGTAAAATCGCAAATGAGTATAGGACAAATAAAGGACGTTTTGAGTGAACTGTGCGAAATCAGTTTCAGAGATCAAAAATTGACTCAAATGCTTCTCTCTTGGTGTTTTACGTACTGGAAAAAACCAATTTTTTTTAAGGAAATCAAATGACGAGAAATAGACGAAAGATATTATTATGTTGAAAGCGTAGTTAGTCAGTAATACAAGGTTTACAGGAGAAAAGGAAAACAACCGGATATCGGAGAGACAAGAATGTCTGAAAAATATGTAAAGAAAAAAAGGGAAAAATCAAAATAGGGGATGTTTATTGTTTAGCATTCATTACATGAAAAGTAGCTCAGTACACAAAGTTTTCATCGACTATTGTCAAAATTGTCATAAAATCTCAAACTCCATAGTTTTCCCTGGAACAATGTTTTTGCAATGTTGGATAGGAAACCACACTAACCACTAATACTGCCTATGTAATAGTGAGTTACTGTCTTCGCCATAACTTCAAACTCCAATCCATTAACATTGGTGTATATATCAACAAACAATGACAGTCGAAATAGGCAAGTATGTTGCGTACAAACAGCGTGCATGCATACATGTATGTAGCTCAATGATAACGTCTCTGATTGCAATACTAGATGATAAGGGGGAATTATTTCTTTCAAGGCTGCAGATGAGACTCACTCATGAATGCTAACATGCGCCAACTGCCTTCAGCGATTAGTAAGTAAAGAGATCTCTTATATATGTCCAAACCAAGTTCACTTTTAACGGAACTTCATCAAACAAAATCAACACAGACATTAAGTATGGCCAAAAATGCATTCCGAAAACATGGGCATCAACAGTCGTCATTCCATATAGAGCAAAGACATCAGACGATATCAGAAGAGTACTCAATCAGCTCGACATTAGAGTTTTCTTCAAAACATCAGACACACTGCGAAACAACCTTGTCCATATAAAAAACTAAATCCCCAATGATCTCTATCTAATTGTGTCTTTAAAATAAAATTCTGGTTCGGAATGTGATGCGATATACATCGAACAAACATCTCGAGAAATCAAAATCAGAAGAAATGAACACCGTAGAGCATCTCTTCGACCACCAAGAAATCCCGTTGAACTAAAAAAACTTGAAAAATCATCAGCCATAGGTCTACATGCTATAGAATCAGGCCACAAAATTGATTTTGACAATATTGAAATAATCCAGAAAAACTTCAGAAATCACAAACAACATCTAATATCATCAGAAGCACTTCATATCAAGTGGAATCCAAATTGTCTGAGCTGAATATGAATGATGGACTAAAACAGAATCTGACCTGGCTACAACACCTCCCTCCCCCATGAAGTGGCAGAATCAACAGAAATGTGATAAGCAAGTTCACTATGTAAACACACACTACTTTTATAATTTCACACACGGATAAAATTCAACAATCTACACTTGATTTTGTTATCTTTACCGATTCACCAACTTGACAACAAAAAATGACCCCAGACTAACGAACGATGATCAAGTTAGTAAACTTTGTTTTGATATAATAACATATACATATATACTATTGATATGTATCCACATATATATATTTATGTGTGTGTGTATGTTGGTCTCTCTTTCTGTTTGCTCACTTAGTCTGTGACCATTTCACTTTGATGAACCTGTCTCCTTTAACAATGTATATTCCCCTTATATTATATATAATATGAGTTTGTTGACAGTCCGTTGCTTGGTGACATATATCCATATATGGTGGTTGTTGACATGCCTGCTATATTTCGCTATGTATATATGGATCGATACCTCATTATAATTAGCCATTCATGTTAAGACTGTCTAATGATTTATTCACACACTTTGTCTGGAACATTCATATATATTTCGCATTCACAATCTCGTGACTTACTTACTCTGACCACTTTGGTGTGATACCACTTTTGCATTCTCCTTGTGTTTGGAAAATAGAAGTATCATCGCAAACCTAGTGGTCTTCTGATTTCCGCCTTCATGCGTCAGGACTATTAGTTTCTCGACCAGTCCATAACAATAATTGTCGGCGAGTGCATAACAATTTGGCGACGGGGAAAACTACTATTAACCACTCAGCAGCAGCAAAATAACAACTATAACCTTTGATATTTGGTTTTAGTGATCTTCGTTGTTATTTTGACTTTCAATATGTCCTTTTAACTTGACCGACATCTATTTTATCACCCCTTAACTCTTTGTTATATATATGCTGGGATTTTGTAAATTCCGGTCTAATAATGCTTCGGGAAAGCTATTAGCATTAAATAGCGAAACGTCAGTAAAAACAATATCGTTTTGTTTTTCATTCATTGGGAAATACAAAAAAACTTTATTATAATAAAGAGATCTCTTTTCGCAATTTCATTTCAAACCTCTACAGTTATTTAGGGGGTTATATATACAATGTTAGTTGACAGCTGAAATCAGATGCCATTATCAGTTAAGGACAAAATAAATCAAAGTACATGAGTCATAACAATGTTTGGAAAATTGAAAATAACCTTAAGTAATCAATAGGACTGACTAGACATATCCTGATGAACACTTACCAGCATGGTTGTCAATAGGTGAACGTAGAACAGCCAACACCTCACTTCTGGTCGTACAGTCTTAACAGAGATCAGGTCGTCGAAATAAGGATTTCGCTCACATCTTCATGCATTCGAAGCATTTGTTTTACCAATCTATACGAAAGAATTTGAACTTTTGAACAGTTCAGGGACGTGTTATCTAGCATCTTTTACTGACTACCATGGCTCTAGTGTCAGGTTCGCTTTTCTGAACTGTTGTATGATAAACTTGAGTTCGTCACTTTTATTTTTTTTGTAACCCATTTTCAATTCCTTATTCTCTTGTTTCTTATCATTTAACTGTCAAAAGACTATCCATCACTTAACTAATTAGTTGCCAAGTCTCTCTCTCTCCCGACTACATTAGGTTGTTCAGTATTTCCCACAAACTGTTATTTCTCATACACCTTCAGTCATTTTTCACTTCCTAACTAACAATTACCCATGACCTTTGTTGTCAAATTACAAAATGTCCTACTTAAGAAAATGGAAATCCACAAAAATATGGAAGAAATACCTCTGTCACTGAAAGGGGTAACTGTTTCTTCCTGTGAGGAAGCTCTTTTTATGAACGTGGAATTCAAAGGTGACACTGAAGCAGGAATTCTTAGAAACCGCCTCTCTAATAGTATGAAGGAAACATTTTCAGTAGCTAGTTTATGTATCACATTCTCCAGAGAACACTTAATGTATTCAAGCGTTAAGAGCTTTTGACCAATTCACTGTGTATTTATCAGTTTAATTGTTCCCATGGAGCAAAGTATATCAGCTGTTTTTGATGTTGTTTTGTTCTCTGAGCTGGATGGTTAATTTGCCAAGCTTTCATCACCCTACTGGGTGACATCTTCAGCGCATACTTCAATTTGAAGTGAGCTTTTAGATTTCCCCACGAGTTTATTAATCATCTCTCCTGGTGACCTTGGACGTGATTGGTTGTTTGTGTGTGTTTTCACATCTTCTGGGTTACTTGTATTGGAACTGACTGTTTCTTTGACTTGAACTTTGACCTTTTGTGTGTGAAGTTTTTCTTTTCTTATTGGTTGATAAATTTTGTCTATCTCTATGTGTCTATTGATTGATGATTCACTGCAATGACAAGCTTCTAAAAATTCTCTAGCATTCTTGTTGTTTCCTCTGTCTAATATTTGAACGTTGTCCCAGTCAGTTCGACTAAAAAAGCTCACTTCAAATTGAAGTATGCGCTGAAGATGTCACCCAGTAGGGTGATGAAAGCTTGGCAAATTAACCATCCAGCTCAGAGAACAAAACCAAATCAAAATCATCCACCTGAGCTACAAATCTTCTCTGTCATATCTATATCAGCTGTACACAACGTCAAGTCCGAAAACGTATTCTGGAATAATGTTGAACCTGGCTAGCCACAGGAGAAAATAACAATACCAGTAACTGCATCCTAGAATACCTTGTCAATTCTGGATATCGGACACCTCCACATAACTGTTTCAAAGTGATGCACTGAGTTCTTCAACATCGCACAAAAAGATTTCGAATACGCCATCTATGTATAGACAAATCATTGGTTATTTACGATCGGAAACTGGATCTCCGCGTCCAAAAGCAATCCAGTCAAAAAATACACTTTTAATTGCATAATTTTGACATGATTACATAATATGGCTGAGAATTGATGCTAGCACTTTAAAAATAGTATTTCAAAAGTGACTATTTGACACTTGATCATTATAACTGCCAACTTACTCTTATTTTCGAAATTACACTTAATTGTATGGCATCAGGCATTAGCCACTATCAAACAGACCGTGATGTTTAACAGTTCTATTTGGCTGATGTGCTTGGGCTCAGTAACTGCATAAGGTAATACTGAGTGAGATTCTGGTTGTATGTTATGTATAAATTCCATATTAGATAGGATGATTTGATATAACACACTGTGATTGATTCAGTAACGTAATAACTGGATGACGTTTCGAGCACAACTTATCCACTTATTAGTCTGGTCACGCGGTTTCAGAATTAGTCTTATATATGTATTTCTACTCTGTCTCTTCCCCTTGTTGTTTGTTGCCAATACATATATCCGGTATAAGCACTGCATCATTTCGATCGTAGGTATTTGGTGTTGATTCGACTAACCTTCCTTTCTCACTATACCTAACTATATGACCTTGTAGTACTTCTCCCTGTCCCATCCTATTGTGTGATTATGTACAAGTAAATCTACTTCAGTGACCAAGTTTTTTGATTGGTTGGAGAATTTCATCATGATCTGACATCAGTTAAAGAACCACTGGATAAGCTGGGACTACTAGAAAACCGCTTCATTCTGGTTTAGGAATCTTCAACAGTGCGCATTTACCGCCAGGGTTCGAACCCAGGACCTTCTGGTTACAAGATTAGCCAGCTAGTAGACCATTAAGTCACCGGGACTCGATCCAAAGGCCACCCCATGAATTCCAACTCCTGTCAATTCATGACATAGCGTGATCACTTCGTAATTTCTTCTTCGGGGAATCGCTGCCTCACTTCGAAACCTGCTGTACCCTCCTTGTCACGGCTTCCTACTGGAACCCCAAGTAACTGTCTGGATAGGACCAGTCTGTAGTGAGCATCGAGTTAATTTTCAAGTATTGGTTTTTTAGGGATTTTGTTTGACTGGTTGGAGGACTACTGATCAGGATCAATCATTCTGGATCTGACTAAATTTCAATGTTCTGATTGACTACCAGTTCGACTGATATAATTTACCTCACAGTCAATGAATAGTAATTGATAAAAATTTGATTCCGATTCGGAATACATCGATATGATCAACTAATTGTGCTCACATTTTCACTGTTTGATTCAGTGAAAGATGGAAGAAAACAGTTGTCAATTTACGAAATGAGCATTCAGCTATGGGAGCACTTCATGTTCTCTATCGGTTTACATAACGCTATCAACGGAGCTGTTGCAGTACGTTTCCATAACTAACATTTTCGACACATGAAAATATATGATATCATTGTTTTGAAAATACCAGTTATCACCAAGTGTTTCATCTAATACTTATAGGGAATTTGTAATGATGAAGGCCTATTGATCAGGAGTTGAAATGTCATTACAAGCACAACAACTATGAAGACTGTGAAGTGTCGGTCAGCAGAGATTCTATTTTTTGGATCGTGATATGAAATCAGTTAGAGGACCAGAGAAGACTACAGAGTATTGAAAAGCTATTCCATTTCAGTTTACAAATCTTCAGCAGTATATACCCATTTCTGCTGTCCGTGGTTCGAACCTAGAATCTTAGGGTTGTGAGATGAACCCACTGACAGTGAACTAATGAGACGGAATCCAATGCCGCGGTGTTGAGTAATGCTAAAGAGCTTCAAACTATGACGAAATGACTGTGCAATACTCTCTGCTTTTCATTGATTCACTAACCAACAACACCTAGTGATTCGGATCGTATGAGTAGTTCCCATGTTATGTAATTAAGAAGAATATCAATAGTTCTAGCCTCAAATACCTGTCAACTCAGGACATTGGGCACCCTGGCAGGACTGCTTCACAGTCCCTCAATGTCGCACGAAAAGTCTTCGAATGTACAATCTATACATAACGGAATCATTGACTATTCATAACTTGAAACCAGACCTTTGTATTTAAAAGCACTACATGCACTCGCTCGCCTTACAGTGGACAGAATAATGTTCTTACCATAATTTGGCTACCTTTTATTGTGTAAGTTTACTATTATAATTACCCTTATTATTCTTATTTCACAGTCACCCTCTACTGTTCCCTGTTTATGACGTTTTCGTATATTATAAACGCCTAAATAACTGACTGTACAGCTGTGAAAGTGAAGTAACGAAACGAGATCGCTTTTTTGGCTGACTTATGTGCCTTCAATCCACATCACATGGGAATATTGAATGCCTCCAATTATGTTATATATGCTCAATTCAGGAAACAATTAAACACAAAAATTTACTTGACTCTCACACACACACACACAAACACAAATAAAAAACAAGACGATAAAACACCAGTGGTAAAAAATAAACAACCTAAAAACTAAAAACGACAACCTACCAAATATTTTAAATTATCTAATAAATGACTAACAATCGATGCAAAATATGAACCAATACGACATCGTGCCAATAATCGGCGAACATGATTAACTAATACGCCTTTATCTACACGCATTAAAATCATATAGGCTATAAGATTATATAAGCATAAGGCTAGCAGACGATCTTCTTTTAACAGGAGGATACGTTTCTGTGTTGGATTCATGACAGCGAATTGTTCAATCATTTCCATAGGTGATTGATCCATACCTTGAGAATATATACAGAAGATGAAAAAAGAATATATAGGGAAAATTTCCATTTTACACATTTATAAGCCTAGAAAGAACAGTGAGCAAAAGAATGACAGCTATTGACAACTTTGATGTTTATAGGTAATATCGAGTTGATTACACCTAGAGGTTATAGTTCAAAAATATGTGTAAGTGTGATAATATGCCTAAAACTGTAATACTTAACTGAAAATCAGATGAAATTAAGATGGAAATTTATGTGACAATTGAAGGTAGTTAAGACAGTGATGGACAAATTGGGGAAATCATCGGAGTGAATTTCTTCTGAACATGTAAGCTAGACCTCTTAAAGTGAATTTGTTTAAAGTTCGACCATGGTTTGATAGTTTGAGACTCGTCAGTTAAAAGGTAGGCTCGCAGATCATTCAACCACTGGGACACGACTCTTTGGTGGCAAGCCGAGGAATTCTAATTCCTGCTAATTTGTGACTGTAGCGCAGCCACTGCTAACCAATGTCACTGCTGGCGAGTATTTGTCCTGACTCCTGACTGGAGTGGACCTCGGTTGTTCACAACTTAAGGTGAAATCCAATGACACCAAGTGTGACTGACTTCACATAAGCATTTAAACTGATCGATACACATAGATGAGATGAAATTAGGAAGTCTACCCTTAAATCCCTAACGTAGAATTGGAGTGATTCTGAAGAGAATTCTGCTGCAACGGTGAACCCTTCTTACTGCATTCTTTAGGCATTGTGCTATTATTTCGGTGATGTTAACACCCAGGAACTTTAGTTGTAAGAACATGATCTTCTTTTGATTCGTTGATGTAATACTTTGCCTTCGGTTTAAATTCACAATCTTGTTAATAAACTTCTCTGGATATCCATTTTCACTTAGTAATTGTCTAATAATCACTAAGTTCTTCGTCAAGATAGTCATTAGAACAGATTGCTCCAGCTCTTGGTTTACACTTCAAAGGAACGAAGATCAAAAACTGAATGTACCAATCTGTCCAAGTAGATTTTCTATATATACTCGTTCTTATTGTACCGTCCTCTTTCCTAGTCATAAAGACATCTAGAAATGATGGTGAAATTTATTGCTATACGCACTTCATTAAATTTGTCAAAGATTTTCTTTAATTCATTCTCATTTTTCATTATCAAAAACTTATTGTTCATGTAAAGGCATTAGAAGTCTACTTCACCACTAACACTTCTCAAAGTTCCATTCTTTAATTTCTCAGGGAAACGAATATTGAAAATGACTATAACAACCACGGCATTAAAGCAATATATATATATATTTCTCACTTTTCAGGCGACCAGTATGTCTCTGCATAAAACATCCTGACAAATTGGGTAAGAACGTCGTATCAGCATAACGTTCACAAACATTAACCAACGTTAACTCTAACCCAAACTTACATCCACTTCACTTTCGTTACATTTCACCTCAGTGGTATAACCAACAGTTTCTCGAGTGTATGCATATTCAGCATAATGCATCCACCACGCCAAACCTATGGATCAAGCCCAGGAGCTTCCAGTTACACGGTGAGCTTATTGATAGTTCAGCAACTGAGACGGAATCCAGTGGCCATGAAGTCTAACTTCGGTCAATTTACGATTTTGTTTAACGCCACTACTAGCCAATTTCATCCGCGGCTCATGGGTGTGTACTGATGAAGAGTTTGAAACAAGGATGGGATTACTCTCTGGTAGTTACTGGTCTAAAAGAATAACTCCCTAACTGATATCAATTCGTGGTCACACTTGAAACCAATCAGATACCTGAAAATTAGCATTTTTTTTTTATGGTTACAGCTTGATTCCACACTGTATTTTTGGTACAAGTATGGAATTTTCAGCATGGATATCGGTAGCCCAAATTTTGCAGGCCGACCATAGATATCAGGTGTGCGCCGGCGTGGGCTCGAACCCCGGACCATGTGCATGGTCGGCGAGAGTCCTAACCACTGTGCCACCGACGCACAAACATATGTATATATCTTCGCTTATTTGTTTGTAAAAGGTGGTCTACAGAATTAGACAAAACAAGAATCATTGTTAATCTATCTTGAATAGCATTGTTCACTAGAATAATCTGTTTAATATATGCAAATGTTGATAGGATTATGTGATTAGACAAAGCAATCATAGAATCAAAAAATAATGAAACGATTCATTGAATCAGCAGACTAAAAGAGTGCACTTGTTAATGACGCACAGTAATTAGCATCTTTTAATTTACTTTTAGTCGAAATTAAAATAAACATTAGAAAAGTTAAATATGTCTGAAAAATTAATTTGCTATAAACGACCGAATATACGTTGGTGTTTCACTGGGGTGAACTCCCACCAACCACTGACGAACAACGAACTTCCAAGCCTTATCCTGCCTAGATTACCAGGCTCATAGTAAGTCTGGAAGAGAGGGTAGGTTGAGTGTAAAACTAAAAACCTAATCCTACGCAAACCACACAACTACTACTGGAACTTCAAAGCCTGATTTTTCAAGCCCTATTTTCCTCAAGCGACTCAAAGAATGAAATAAATGCGTCCATCTAACAGTCACCTAGGATACTCAGTGATTAAAATGAAAGTGAAACAGTTTTAGAACACGTTTTTGCAGTAGGTAGTTTGAATGAAAAAGCATTCATTCAGCCGGACGGTTGTTCAATGGGATCCAGGTGATCAGAGAGTTTTCCGCTTTTCTGTCCCATTACTACGAAGAACTACCCGAAGGATCTCATGATGTCCCCACCGTGGATTATTTTCTAGATTTATTCATGTTAGTCAACTGTGTTTAAGTGAATAAATATACTTCGATCCTGTATTTGTAAGTCCCACTGATAAAATATGTGTATATTCAGAAACCTGTGATCCTAAAGTTTTACCTAGGAAAGGCCGTTCTTACAATCGATAGATAATATGAACCTTAACAAAAAGTAAACAGTGAAGTTTCAAGAGGGTGAAACACATTCTTTCTCTGGCTTAATTCGTTGACAATAGACATAGTTTTTAAGAGAAAGCGATGGTATCGACAGTAGGAGAGTAAGCTGAAGATGAATAGGACGAATGACAAGTCGCAAGGCTTATAGTTCTCAAAGACGTGTATGTGGTTTGCCACTACTTCTCACTGGTAAAGAAAAGGAGATCGGGTGAAGAATCTACACCAAAATGATATCATCCCACAATATTTATCTTTTAAAAGCCTTAAATTATAATCAGAACATGAAATTTACACAGTTCCAGCTGAATTTTCATCACAGTTTCCCTTGTAAACCAAAATTATGCAGATCACAGTAAGTGGTGTTTCTCAGATGTTTTATGTCCCATATCACACAAACTCGAAGACTTACATATAGGCGAGAAGCAACAAAATGGCTAAAGCGGTTGGATCACAACGAAGACAGGAATCCAGGTGAACATTGAGAAGACAGAAGTGATCAAGATAACCAACCAAGAAAACAACCAACAACAACAACAACCAGTACCAATCAACATCAATGGGAGTGGTTTCACAGAGGTCACTGTCTGTCTTCACTTATCCGGCTGGGAAGGTAGTACGCTTTCAAACACAGGCAGTCGGACAGCACAGGTGAAGATGTCAAAGCCAGCCAAGGGGAATCGTAAAGGCAAAATACGCTTTCAAAACTAATTTCAAAGTCTTCTCCACCCACTCACCCAACCAGCCAGCGTAAACAACTAGGTGCGGATTCTATTTAAAACAAATGTGGAGGCATTTAGTCAGTTATTTAGTCAGTGCTTCTATATGTATCAGAAACTTGCACTGTACTCGTGCCAGTGCAGACTTTTATCAATAGTTGACACCTTCGATTGCTGGCTGGCTGGTAAGAAAGAATTAGCAACAAGAAGCTCTTGTTGGGAATAAATCAACAGGCGAGAGTCGATGCTCAACAGATATGTAGGAGATGAGTGGGTCACCATTGTGTGTGGGTGCAGGTTGACACAGAAGATATCATGTGTTGTGGAGGAGGAGATGACAGATCCTGGAAATTCGTGAAGTTAGCCAGCTGAATGGGAGATTAGCACATAGAAAAAAGTGGAGATATGTTGTTGAAACCCTATGTTCCACCCTATGAACCCAAAGGAAAAGTAATAATAATAAATTGTGTGATATAACTTGTTTGGTACCATAAATGGTACCAAGAAAACACATTGACATGAGTGGTATACGGCTACTTATCTGAATCAGTCATTAGTATGTAGCGTCAATCTTAATGCCTTATTTAGATTTATTAAAAAGACTAACCATCTCGATAGTGATTACTGTTTTGTCATCACTCACTTACCTAATATATCTCTTTCTTGAGCAACTATATCAAAAAATGTATCCTCCCAAAATTGTTTATGATCCCATAGACGTGAACGTTCATTTTCATTGATTAAACTTTCATATAAGTAAAGACGATTATAGCATTGCTCTGAAGTATTGATTTTGTCAGCGGTAGAAGTAGGAGTAGTTGTAGTAGTACTTTCATTAAATGCAACACCATCACCACTACAACCACCACCCACTTCAAGATTAGGATCAATTAAAGCACCATTAGTAAATCGATATGCACTAGCATGTTTACATTTCTTCCTTCTAACTTTATAGAGAAAAAAAAGACGAAACAAAGAGTGAGATATTTAAGTGTCAGAATACAGTTTTGTTTATTTATAATTACCAAAAACATCAGCTTGGTGATACATTATCGCCACCAACTGAAGCGCCACACGAAATCTCATAGTTTTCCCCGGAACCTGTGATACTTTACCGGAAGCTCAGATCGGAATAAGTGGTTGCCTTAATCGGCTAACTTCGAGTCTTTGATGTAAAGTCTTATCCTCAAGGTAGTGGAGCAGCGTCAAGAACTATGTTCCCATGATTTCCGATGGCCAAAATAGGTTCATGTGACATTCAGTCTATTCAGATTCGGCAGGCTATTTACACCATACGTTTTGAATCAGAGTTTCCACCTCCCTTATGTAAACGTGCATGTTCACCACCGGTCTAGTTGTAAGCACTAGGACTTTTCTGTTGAACATCCCCAATGCATGAAGGCAGTAAATAAAACATACCTGACAAAGGCTTGGAATGCGTAGCCACATTTGAGAACACCTTGTGAGGAAGAGTGAAGTCTGCCGCCTCCTCCTGGCCATACCAGGTCGTTTATAGGATCTGAAACAGTTGCTAGGTTATAGATTCAGTTTTTACAGCTCAATCGCCAGAACAAAATGCTTAATTTTTCAAGTTATGTAGGACATTGATTGTATGGCAGCTGGTAATACTGTCCAGTTGCCTAAGCTGAAGTATGTGGCGCAAGATTCGAATCCTAGATCCATTGGTTGAGCCAATTCCCACAGTTATAGTAACTACCTATGTGTGCAAATTAGACGGTTGGAGGTAGTTGAGACAAAGCAGTGGACCTAGCTTTTGTGCACATCGACACTTGCTAACAAAGTGTATCTGAAACATGGAAAGGACAAATGTTTTCTAGGAGATTCAAACCCACATCACTGTTGCTGCAGTGAGAGACAACCGTTGAGCTATTCGGACCTATTCTTATGCATGTAATCGCCTCTTGTGGAGGTCAGGTGTAACTTCAATCAAACAGGAATCCTTTTATACTTCAGAAGAATATATCAATCTACCGGCTAATTTGTTTTTTGAAAAATTAAGCGAAAGTTGAAATTCGAATTACATGCATTATATTTCTTTTATTCATTCCTTGGATTTTGAGTGGAACAGATGATTTCAGCAGCACATCTCCGTTCCACTTTCTATTAGGCAGTCTATTTTGCCTGGACCCGCGACTAACCATAAAATCTTATCTCCCCTATCTTATCTTCAAACTCACGAACAATTCATTGTTTTTCACTTGACTTCTACTCATGGGCTTTGCTCATGGTATCACTCAACGGTCTCCACAGCGTTTGTCAAATTCATCTGCATTCCCCTCTGAACAGTTGTTAGTCAGTAGGTTCCTGATTGTTTTATCGCCATAGTTCCTTGTTCCCTTTCGTTTCTAACCAACCACCAGAACTTCAGTAACGAGACACTGAAGGAATATGTTCATGCGTGCCCCATGAACCTTGAACCATATGGAAGCACTGATCTGAGATCAGTACTGAAAATCTGAATCTTGTTCTTTATGTTGAGTGAAGCAGATTTCCGCATTGATTTCTTATTAATAAAGATCTGCCTTGCTTTTCCGACCGTGCTTCTGATATCTTCATCTTTGCCGCCTGTATTTGAAACGATGCTATGGAGTGAAGTTATTATTATTATTATTATCATTATTACAGTTAAACAAAACCTCAGACAGAAAAAGGTGAGTATCAAATTAGTTATTCAATGTTCCACTAGGTCAATTTACCTTTATTTACAACATTTAAGTGGTCAGGTGTATTTGGCTCTGATGTCCCCGAAGTATTTATCTGTTGTAACTGTTGTGGCTTGAAGAGAATAAAAGTTTCAAATAAGAAGTGAAAAAATGACCTATTATTATAGAAGTCATAGTTAAATTTGCTAAAAACAACTTGACTTAACTAATTAATTTTTGGGCATTTATGACAAAGTGATCAATAAAAAATCACGTAATCATGAGACAGAGACTTTCTAAATCTATCATTTGGAAATTACACACTTTGAGGTGAGAAATCAGCACAGTAATCCTTGCAGATCACAGTATGTGATGAATGTCATTTCTGAAGCATTCTTAATCTATGGTATGATCACATGAAATCAGATCCGAATGTTTTTTTCTTTTACAAAGATAGCCACGATGAATTTTCACCTGAAATTCACGAGTTTAATTCGATGATTCTGTTATTTAAGTTGGCTGTGTAATAGTCTACACTGTGGATAAGTTCTGCTGAGAACGATCGAACTGGCTGCTCAGTGATAGTGTTAATATTATTCCTTGGGTTCCGAGTGGAACGTAGGGCTCCGACATCACATTTTCACTTTCTTCTATTTTCTTATCTGCCCTTCAACTGGCTAGCCTCACGATCGCTCAGAATCTTTCATCTTCTCCTCCTCCTCCTGAAAACACGATATCCTCCATGTCACCCTCCACCCTAGCAGTGACGACCCACTCCTCACTTCTCCGTGAGATTCCATTCTCTCTGTGGCCAGCCCACCGATCGGCTATTTAATCTTTAGTATGCAGTCACCAAGCCAGCTAAGGTGGCAGTTGTTGATAAAAGTCTGCAATAACCTGTTGGAAATGTTTTCCGCGACTCAGTCACACTGCAAGTTTTTGCGACTCGTATAGAAGCCCTGACTAAATGACTTGCTGAATACTTTCACATTTGTGTTGAGCACATCCGCATCCAGTTGTTCACTCTACCTGGCTGGCCGGCTGAGTGAGTGCAGAAGATTTCCGGACTGGTCACACGTTGATGAAGACATATCTTGCTTGCTTTTCCGATTCTCACCGGCTGGCTGGCTGGCTGGCTTTGACATATTCATCTGTGCTGTCCGACTGCTTGTGGTAGAAACCGGCTTGCTTTCTAGCCAGATAAATGAAGGCGGATAGTGACCTCTGTCAGTTGTCTCCCGTTGATATGTTGATTGGTGCTGATTGTTGTTGTTGCTTCTGCTGTTGGCTGTTTTCCTGGTTGACTATCTTGATCACCTCTGTCTTCTTTATGTTCACCTGGATTCCTGTCTTCACTGTGATGCAACTCTCTTCAGCCAGTTTGTTGGTTTTCTCCTGTCTGTAAACCTTCGAGTTTGTTTGAAATCAAACATAAATCTTCCACACACAAGATCCAAATATTCCAGAGACTTATAATAGGTCCAACATATTCCTGTTTTCTCACTCCCAACGCGCAGTCTGATGCATACAGTGATGCTGTTAAGATCACCTCAATTTATCTAGACTAGCAAGTACTACTTGTTGACCTGAGCAATGCTCAACTGCTTATATAAAACAATCGGTTGTATACGGGGTGATGCATTAATACACGCCTTCTTGATTACTATTTATTATATTAGGTATAGCGGTTAGCACGCCTGCCGACCATGCATATGGTCCGGGGTTCGATCCCCGGCCGGCGCACTCCTTTACCTCACTGAGCCAGAGATAATCCTGGTAAAGTGGAAAGGTTGGGCATGAGGCTAGCAACCCCATCCTGTAAAAATTAAACACTGCTACAGAAACTTCAAGCCACTAGCTTGCAGCCCTATGTTCCACTGCGAACGTGAAGGAAAAATTATTATTATTATTATATTACGGAGATCGAATCATATCGATTTTCAAAGAAAACTATACTGAAATTTCACCTCCAACTGCGTAAATCGTAAATTAAATTGTTAATTGTGGATTTAAGCTATCATATTACGTGGTAAAATTTGATAGTGGTCCAACTAGCACTTGACATATTTCTTCGCTGACTAGATGTGTGCTTAACTCCTAAATGGTTATTTGCTTAGCTTACAGATTCACATACCTGCCGTCTTCGTGTAAAGGCATAGTTTCACTCTCTACAAAACATTAGATAATGAATAGAAATATTGATCTGTATATAAAGGTTCCCGTGTGTCAACTATATACATGAGTAAGGCTGAAACTTTATATCATCTTCTCTATAACACTTTAGCTGACACAGGAAGTGAAATATGCGGAAATACAAGAAATCAAACAAATACACTGAAATAAGGTTGTGTCAAACATCCACTGCATGACTCACCTCTTTTCTATATGAATCAGTTGATGTCTGATTATGACTGGTCACATTTTCTGACTGTGTAGATCGACCGAATAAACCTGTTGCACGATGATCCGTTCAACATTTCAATTCACAAAACCAGCATAAAAGATAAGATGAGACAGAATAAAAGTGTCAATTAATTCAATAATATTTTATTAAGGATATTATTGGAATAGATGCATTGTTTATAAGCCTCGGCAAATGACTTATCAGTAGGGATGGAATAAATCTATAATCTATCTGTCAGTGTGGTTTTGAGATATGGAGTCTACAAAGTGTTTTCGCCCGGGGTGATGACAACTAAGCGTATCCTCAGAAATGTCCACTGTTCCCATTTTTCTAAAACTTCATCATAGATACACTAGTGGAATCAACCCTGAGTGACTTCAACCACTGGGGGGATTTACCTGTTTACAGGGAGAGAGTACACAGATGATATTTTTCTTCTAGGCGAATAACCTGACAAGATACAGAGTCTTCTGAACAACTTGAGTACAAACCTGCGTATGTTTTGCATGTGATCTTCCCTCGTCAAAATTTCAGGAGCCCTTCAGGAGTAGGCTGCACCAACTCCTAACTTAAAGATAGGCAGTGAAGTGGTAAGGCATGTTGACCACTTCAATGATTTGGAAAGTTGTACCAATTCTACTGGACTGATTGCTGACAAAATCTCAGCACAGAGAAAAAAGGTTCATGTGGTATTTTCCAAATCATATCATCTCTAGCTAACAATCAAAAGACAGCGATTCACCCTGTCCTTCTTTTTGTCCGTGAGACATGACCATTGAAAGTGAAAGACTCCAAAAGGCTATTTGTCTGTGGTCTATCTCTCATGTTAAATGATGATGATGATGATAATAGGATGAGTAATAATAAGGTTAGGCGTAGAGTGTTACTTAAAGAGGAGAAGTCAGTTAACAAGGTTATGAAACTGCTATGACATGTGTTACACATCACAAGCTATCGCCTCCATTATCCAATCATATTAGGTGACTTATCATTAGAATGTAATTGGTGGATGGTGACTACTACTGGGATCCACTAGGATGCGCATTTCGTCCTATTTGTGACTCATCCACCAGCTGGATGTACCTGCATTCCCCAGTGAGTGATGATGTTCCCATCCAGGCTCGAACCCAGTGCCTATAGTTTCAAACACCAAAGCGAGTCCCAAATAGGACGAAGTGCGCATCCTGGTGGATTCCACTGCTAGTCCCCATCTACCAAATTACTTCTAATTACATGCCCAAACATCATTGAAGTGGCTGCACAAGAAGCCAACAGACATGTCAACCTGAGACCGAGCACTTCGGTCTAATCAATCGACGAGGAAATTTAAAATTCAATTAAATGACTTATCATTAGGTTGATAGAGAGTTATAGGTGGGATCAGACCAAAGAATAACTTCAGTCCAGGTGTAGACTGCCGGCTAAGAACCAATAGCTTGAGATTATTGGTTATATGACTCAAAATGTTTCTAAGTAGTGTAACAGATCTCCTAATTTCTCATGTTTTTTTTGTGCTACTGTTCCTCCCCCCCCGTAAATTTCTGTTTGTTACATCTATTTCGATTTTCTTTCTGTTTCTTAACCCCTATATGCTAAATAGTGAGTGTAAAGTTGAAATGATCCACCTCTATCCAAAGTTCTACTATGACCAATTAAATCAAAGGATAAGAAATAATGGAATCATACTGAACAAAGCTTGCAAATTATGTGACTGCCTTGATATAATGATTATGAGCAGTAGATTCTGCTCGAAACACGGTATCAGTAAATAAAGAAAAGTGTACAAGCAGTGGTTTGCAGAAATTTGATTGGTTACAGGATTTCAGTGTGAGCTGACATAAGTGAAACAATCATTGAAAATCCTTAGAGTACTGGATGAAACAGCTGCCTAACACTCCTAGATTTTTCAATGATTCTTTAACTGAAGTCGGCTCATAATGAAATCCTGTAACCAATCAAATCCTTGCAAACCAATACTTGATTGTTAATCTGACTACTCGCCAGCGACTGGACGTATTCAGGCTGGTAGTTATCTAAGTTCTAGTGAGAATTCGTAGCTAGTGGGGTAGAGAAGGTCACGTGTGAGGACAAATACTCGCCAGCGATGACACCGGCTAGTGGTTGCGCTATATCGTGAGTTGGTGGAATTTAGAATTCACGGGCAATTAGACCAGATCATGCCTTGTAACCAGAAGGTCCTGCGTTCGAACCCTTGCGGTGGGTGCGTATGTCAAAGAGTCCAGAGGGACTAGGACGAAGTAGCTGTCTGCCAGTATTTCCTTCAGGTTTTCCAATGATTCTCTAACCAATATCAGCTGATGAGGAAATCCTAAGAAGAAGTGTATTAACACTATCTGTCTGTGTGTATGTGTTTCGTCAAATGAAATTTCTTTTTCATTTGAGTAAGAAACAAAAAATCCCATCTCTTCGCAGTAATCGCCTATTTTCCCTTCTTATTAGCTTTTTCTCCTATTTATTTCGTTCAACTTTGTTCAGAAACTTCCGTTCTATTCTTTATGTAAATAATAATAATAATGGTAATAATATGGTCAATAGGAAAAATGTTACAACTAAACAAATAAACTTAATCGTCTACAACATTCTCATAGTCCTTTGATTTTTCAGCTACATCTGTTTTCTCTCCCTCTCAGAAAATAGTCTTCAAAGGATTGAAAACAACTATCGGACTGGTACTGGTTAAATCGAATCCGACTGAGTAATCTACTCAATATTGATTAGTTTTAAAGGAAGTTGACGTCATACACAAGAAGCGTCTTTGCTTACTGAAGCTGATGTGCGTCAAGGTGTTGTTGTACCTTCTTTTCCCAATTCCTATTCTCTTACTTTTTTATGTTTGACTTACAAGTATTTTCTTTTTAAGCCATTTTCTGATGCAACTTTAAAAAGTTTACATTGAAAGATGTAAGAGAAAAGCTGTTCAGCAAAGAGTTAGTTAATCATTTCATCGATTAGTTCACCTGCTTTTGTGGAACTAGGTATGCCAACCGTACCTAGCGTTGGCTATCATAGTACGTATCATCGAACAGTTACCCACAGCCATGGTTTTATCAAGGAGGAAAAACATCCCTCCCCCCCCCGCAGCCACATCTCTATTCTGGAACATCTGATCGGATCGAGAAACCAAGAAAACTCACCAAAACAACTTCCAAGTTACCTATAGAATATTTAGGAATCTGAATTTTAGATTTTCTCGTCGATTGATTGAGCCCAAGTGCTCGGTCTCAGGTTGACATGTCGGCTTCAATCGACGGGAAAATCTAAAAACTAAATTAAATTAATATGACCCGTTGCACAAGAGGTGGCTCCCGTGGCCTGAATGGTCTTGTGGATAACACTTTGGCGTTTGAAACTATGGGAAATGGGTTCGACCCTCGGTGGGAACATCATCACCCACTGGGGACTGCATGTACATCCAGTTGACGAGTCCCGAATAGGACGAAATGAGCGTTATCCTAGATTCCACTGCTAGTCATTATCCATCAATTGAATACTAATTTAGGAATCTAACTATATATATTAAAACCTTTCACTTCTTAAATCTACAGTGGACCTGACCGACCTATCTTAACACCAAATACGTGATTTTCGCTTCGTCTTTATTTTGCTTGTTTGTTTCTTAATTGTATAATATTTTCTTTCCCCACCTCTTATTACCACTGTTGTCAACTTGAATTTTAAACAATGATTCCCTTTTTATAAATTTGAACAAAGAAAGGAGAAACATTGACGCAGAATAATCTGGATCCATTTTATTTCGTCGGCTCTCATCAGCTACGTTCAAACTGAATTCTTTAATAAAAATCTTTGTCCATTAGCAAGAATATTATCAGAGCGTCATAGTAAAATAAGGCGTTGCGATTTACAGGGTGTCTAAAGTGTTACGACATATATATATCTTGTTAGAGAGAAGTTTCTTGAAAAAAATTAATTAACAGTTGTGTTTGCATGGAGGATTTAATCATGAGCTGACATCAGTTAGAGAACCAATGGAAAACCAGCTGGGAGTACTGAACAGCTGTTTCGTCCTAGTTCGGGACTCTTCATCAGTACGCACCAACCTGGATTCGAACCCAGGACCTTCTGGTTACAAGGCGAGCTCGTATACCATTAAGCCACTGGGACCCGATCCAATGGTCCTTGAATTCTAACTTCTGCCAATTCACGACATAGCGCGACCACTTCGCAATGTCTTTCTCGACGAGTTACTGCCTTATCTTCAACCTGCTGTACCCTACTGGTCACGGCTTACCACTAGAACCTTAGGTTAACTGTCTGAATAGGGCCAGTCACTAGTGAGCATCAGATTAATTTTCGAGTATTGGTTTTGTAGGGACTTTGTTTGATTGCATGGAGTGGGGTGGTAACAAAAGACAATTAGTAATAGTTATGTAATTAGATAAGAGAAGATCAAAGTTTTACAATTCGAGTGCACAGGAGGTCAGATGAGAAGTTGATGATGCAATACAGTGAGCAGAACTCATAAAATCAAGAAAAATTATCTCTTAAGAGAGTCAAGCGAAAAATAAAGGCGGGGAAGGAAAGACACCCTGTAAATCACAACGCCTAATTTTACTATGACGCTCTGACAATATGCTTGCCAATGGACAAATGTTTGTCAAAACTGTACACTTCTAAATTCTATTTTATTAAAAGATTGAGGTTGTACCCAGCTGATGAGAATCAACGAAATAAAATTGATCCAGATTATTCTGTGCCAATGTTTCCTCTTTCTTTGTTCAAATTTATTGTTCTTCCCTATTTCTGCCCTGGGTTTCTCAAAAAAGAAAGACTATTTCATATCATCTAGGACTAAGAAGATTGTGATTAAGGTTAGCAGTGTGCTACTGACTCAACTATTTGACATTATTATTATTATTATAGACACACGTTTTAATTCTTGTAAACATCAGGCTAAAGTAATCGCGTTGGATATTGAACATCCTGTCTATTCGCGACTTTCGCAACTTTTTATGTCTTCTTCAGGTAAAATCAGAAGAAATTCAACAAGAATTTAGCCTTTAAAAGGTCTAATAAATATAAAAAATTCAACTATACCTTATTTAGAGCTGGTATTTTGTAAACGGTAAAAAAGACAAATGTTAGAAAAGAGTTTATAAACCTGCTTTATAATCTGTAAACGAACAACAAGCTATTGCTAACAGCATTATTATTAAATGTTTATTCTCCAGTTGACTTCAGTGTTTGACAATTTTATTATTTTATTTATTTATTTTTCAAAAGGTCAAATAAATCCTTGCGATATTTACAATTCTGAAAACTCCATTCTGCATAGAAATTAATGTTTGAAACAGAAGTGATTGCTATTCAAGTGTTATTAAGCAGAGAGGAATTAAATTTAATGGCTACAAGGCTGCCTATTATCATCGACGATATCCTTAATTGTGGTCAACTGGATTATGCGTCAGTCTGTGGGGAGATGGTAGACAGAAGTACGCTGGACGACCTATGAGAAGACTCTAGAAGATCTGGTTACTCATGTGTGTGTGTGATTTATGCTTAATATCACACAAACGTGAATATTTGCATACAGGTGAAAGCCAACTAACTAACTGACTGTATAAGCAGGCAACGAAGACAGTAACCCAGGCTAATATAGAGAAGGTGGAGGTAATGAAGATTACCAAGAAACAGCAACAACAACAACAACAACAACCAGCACCAATCAGCATCAACTGAAGAGATTTGACACAGGTCAATTCCCACCTTCACTTATCAGGCCTAGGAAAGAAGCATAGTTTCAACTACAGGCTGTTGGACAGCACGGATGAAGACATCGAAGCCAGCTAGTCAGTCAGTCAAAATCGGAAAAGCAAGATGAACATTTATCAACATGTAACCAGAGTGGAAATCTTCGGCTGTCACTCAGTCAGTCAGTCAACCAGCCAGCCAGCCAGCATAAACAACAAGATTCGGATTCTGTTCAACACAAATATCAAAGCAGTCAGTTCTGCAGAGGATAGAAGAAACAAGGGAGGGATGTTGTTGAAGACATACGTTCCACTAGGAACCCAAGGGAATAATAATGACATTATAATAATTCCTCTAGACAGATATTACCTTAAAATCATTAGACTTGGGAGATTTGTGTCACCTGACTTTTGCTGAAATGGGTCCCGGATTCAAGTCTAGCTTAACCCTACTTCATTGTACACAACTGGTTAATATTGTTAACCCTTCAACAATAAATGTGTCTTATATCCAGATACATGATAAACTCTTCACCAGTGTCTTACTGATTTATCTGCCTGAGAGGGTAGGATTGTAGTAAATCATTTATGTTAGACAATTACTTAATTACTCGATTTTCTATGGTTACTTAAAAGCCTAATATGCCAGTCAACTATTACCTCTGAGATGGTTATGATGGACGTATAATAATAGCAATATAATCGATATTTCGACGGAATTTCATGTTTATAAATTCATCTGGGATAGCTTGCTGTATTGTTACAAGGTTTCCCGTTGTCAATCAAATAGAAGAACTTTATTGCTGGACTTTATTTCTAAGCGAAAGTTATATTGTTAGACTTTCAAGGCCTGAACAAATAAATCAATAAACACATCATTAAAACGTCAAAAGTAGCAGTTTCTAGAATATCATCTGTGATCAGATGAATTTGTTTGAAGGTTAACATTCATAGTATTGATGATTACTAAACAGGTAATTGAATATAATACCTGTTAAAGTTAGTTTGAATCCTCCTTTGATTACCTCATATTAGATTAGAATGTTTGGTCTCTGTTTTCATGTCCACACCCAGTATCTAAGTTTACATCGTTTTAAATTCCGGCGAAAACACCATCACTCACTAGGAAATGCACGTACATCCACTGATTGACGAGTCTCAAACAGGACTAAATACGAATCCAGGTGGGTTCCACTTCTAGTCAACACTTCCACCAACTTACCTTGAATAATCAGACATCGTCAAAGCATCTACACAAGTTGGCTGATAAGTTAACCTGAGGACAAGCAATTCTGTCCAATCAACCAATGGGGAAGTCCAAATTGAATTAAATACCACACTGCTTCAGTGTTATGCAAAATTTCTAACAGTCTTAAAGTTACTACTGTCAACTTATACCGTTGAAACTCTAGAATCCTCTTAGGTGTATACTGCGCTTACATGTGAAGAAGCCATCTCTGTACGAAAAATGGTAGGAATAAAAATTTCAACCTTCTCAAATGTCATGCGCAATATTTTTAGGATAAATGTTTACTACTTTTACATTTGCAAGTAACTAAAATTAATTCATGAATTTTATATGGAAACTGTTTTTACGTCACAAACCGGTGTCATTTCCAGAACCGCTGAAATTTAATCAAAACTTTAGACAGTCATTACGTTCAGAAGATTTTTCAATTTCGTCATTTTAGCTTCAAACTATATTGAGCATTTATTTCTCAAATCCACTACAAATTATTCAAATGAAAAAAAATTCTCTATTGAAATGATGAAACGAATAGATGCACGCCAAACATTTGTTGCTTACAGGTTGAATACTCTCCAACCACGTAAGTGGTTCGCAGGGTTTGATTCCCAGCCAGCACAATCCTAAACACTGCCTACTTTACCAGCAGTTGGTAAGCCTGGAAGGGATAACACATTAAGTATGAGGTGAGCAACCCTACCACGGGAAAAAACAACTCCATTGCTAACGAAACTTCAAAACTCTGGACTTAAGGCCATATATTTCACTCAGAATACAAAGACATGACACAATGATGGTAATAAATGTCCACAATGAGTTTGTTGGATCACTTTAATCAAAACAGAAAGAAAGAGATCTGTAGTGTAAAGTGTACACACTTCATTTTTAGATTGAAGAGATTGAATATACATATGAATAGTCAAACAAACATACGTCTGTCATATTCCATCAGTCATACAAAAGGATGGTCAAGAGTACAATATAATTACGTATTGATTACATATGACACAAGACTGGAAGAAGATTCGACAAGTTTTCAGTTAATGGATATCAATAAAACACCAATTAACCAGCCAAAAACGGAAAAAAAAGAAGACTACGCAATAATGTGTGAGAAAGCATTTAGAAGCCCTAGGAACGAATTAACTGAGTTAAGTTCAGTGGACAGAAAGAATAATAGCAAAATTAGGCAAGATAGTGACATAGCAGGTTGAATAACTGTAACCGAGGTAAAATGAGACTAAAGGTTTGATGATAAGCTGTCATCAGTTAGAAAACCATTAGAAAACCAGAGAGTAATATAGTGCCGTTTCGTTCTATTTGGGGATCCCGAGGGGTGCGTACTAATGAAGAATCACCACCTATAACGCAATAGCTCTCCAGTACTCACAGTTGGTTTTCCAATGGTTCTCTAACTGACATCAATCCGTGATCAAACTTGATACGAATCAAATCCATGCAAACTACCACTTGATAACTAAAATAAGATTCATCACTGTTTCTTTCTGTCTGTACAAGTTACATTTGGGTTCTTTAATGGCCATAGATTCAGTCAATCAAGTAAGAGTTTCTTCACTTTATGATAACAGTAAGCGTCGAGTAGAAAAAGATATAGTCCCTTCTTATTTCATTTATCCAATACTTATTTAATGTGGGTAGGTGCTTCAGCAGTAGAAGGATTGTCAATCACGCACAAAGTCCGGGGTTTGATTCAAGGTCACCTAACCCGGTAGCAAGTCAAAAAAAAAGAAAGACGATTAGGAGTAAAGCCAGGAACCCCACCTAGTAAGAATTAACCTTAGAGCCACTGAACCATGAAAGGCTAAAGTCTGTAGCCCTATGATCCAGTTTGAGCATAAGAAATGAAATATTTCGGGTTCTCTGCAGGTGTAGAGAAGCCTTGAAGTAAAATGTACACAGTTCATACCTGAAAACGTATGTTTGATCATTGTTTCAATTTCACCCAACTCACCTGTAACCATATTGGGTTTAGCGACTTTTTTCAGGTCTTTTGTAGTTGTTCTTAACCAACCAGCTGAAATTATATAAATTAACGAAAGATATTTCGTGATTAAAGAAAAGGAAATATTTGGACAAATAAATATTTTTGATAAAATTTCTTTTCAAACTATACAGTTGTAAATCCATAAATATCACAAGGTTAAAACAAAGCACAACTCTAGACACGATATTATACCATTATCTGATAGTTGATGACCAGTGGTAGAATACTTACTGGGCTAGCATTTTGCCATATTTGTAACATATAAGCTAGGTGTACCTGCTAAAACATAAATCCATCACCTCCTGTTCAAAAACAGAAGACATTCGTTAGGCAACGAGAGATACGCATGTCCTTTTTATTCCATCATTTGTCATTATAATAACTATTCTCTTGTATTCCAAGTGGGATATGCGGATTCAACAGCACATCTCCACTTTGTCTTATTATCTGCAGTCCCCTCTTTAGCCGGCCCCACACTTGCCTATAGCCTCTTATATCCTCTCCTCCTATACAATCTCTTTCATATCAACTAGGTATCCATGTCAAACTCGTCGTTTCCAATTCAGGTTCTATTCAACAGCATGGCTCCTGATGTCACCCAACAGTCTTCTTGACATGCTTCTAGCCCGTCTCCATTTTCTTCGATATACATATATCTTGAGTAATAGGTTCTTGACTGTTTCGTTGCCAGAGTAGCATGTTGCTTATTCTTTCGCGCCATTTGGACTTCAGTATGGATCTAGAGAAGTCAGCTGTTGATGAAAGTCTTCAGAAGGCTGTTCTAAATTTGACGCGCAATTCAAGTTTTCGACCCACAGAGAAGAATTGACTTAACACTAGTGTTGAAAATCTGAATTGTTTATTGTTTATGCTTTGGAGTGTAGAAGATTTTGAAACGAATTTAAGAGTGATGGTGGTCTCACTTGTCTTTCCGATTCTAGCTTTGACAACCTCCTCCGTGTCGTCTGTAGTTGAAACGATGCTACCTACTAGTCACCAGCATCCAAACGACATCAAGTAACATAGATAGCCGGTATGTACGTGAATGGAGCTGACACTTCAAAAGAGAGACTGGACATTTTGGACAATCAACAGAAGATACACAATAACTCAAACGAATGATATTATTTTTTTTAATAAATGGTTTGCGGGAATTTGGTTATTTTCACCACTGAGATAACTACTGAAAATAATGGAGTACAGGACATCCATTTAGCCCCAGCTTTGGACTCTTCAGCAGTACACACTCAATGACAACGAGCCCAGGATCTTCCAATTACAAAGTGAGCCAGTAGACCATTCAGCCATTGAGACGGGATACAGTGACTCGTGAATTCCAACTTCTACCAATTCGCGATGCATAACACCGTAGTAGTCGAATACTTATCTCCACGCCTTACCCGATAGCCCTATCAGGCATGACTTCCCACTAAGAATCAAGGCAACTTTGTCCTGTCGTTAGAGGCTAAACAGTCAATAGGCTCGCCGCGTAGCCTGAAGATCCTGGGTTACATTCTCTGTGTAGTCATGGGTGCATACTGCGGAATACTGCCAAATAATGACGAAACAGATATTCAAGTACTCCCTGATTCTCAGTAAAATCATCATTCTATAATCTAACTCAAAATTGTATAATGTTAGTTGGAATAGAATACAGCTAAATCAAAAGATCAAATGGCAAGTATTTAGTGCCGACTGTAATACAAATGAATACGAAATCAATAGTCAGTAGTCAATTATAAGACGTGAGAATTAAATAATGCATTTGAGCATTCGTAAACAACAAAAAATGGAGGTCACAAATGGAGGTGATTCATAACCAGTGAGATGGGTTGACGGGGGAGGGAATATCAAATAAAACAAACAATTAGGATACGCCTAAGATAAGTATGCAAGGTGACAAATAACAATGCAAATAATATAAATAGTCATGGGATATAAGCAAGTAGTTTTCAATGGGATTAAGAAAGTCAGAGGAAGGATAATTAAATTGTTAGAAGGTCATAATAAGATTTGAAAATCAATATCTTCTAGCTCTATATATAGCTGAATATGGATATATTGAGTAAATTGTATCCTACAGTTAGATTCAGTTTAGATGAGAGTTTTCAAGAACATTTCAGTATTATAGAGGTTAGGCGTAGAATGTTATGTAAGCAGAAGAATTTAATCGATGAGGTTATGAAGCTACATCGATTGAAATGGCTAGGAGAGGTGTTACGCATGCCGAGACACCGCATTCTTCGACGCGATTAGTCAGCTAACATAATTTTAGACTGGAAAAGAGTCAGGGGGTGACAAAGTAAAACATGAAATTAGTCTTCGACTGCTTAAATGAGCTACGTACGGAGATGTCGTAGACCGCCTGGTTAGGGTCTTCAGGATTGTAAGAACCAATGGCTGGAGACTGTTGGTGAAATGCCTCGAAATCGTTCTTAGTGATACAGATGCATTCACTTTTTGTGATATGTCATATCCATTAGACCCCCATGTTTTTCCACATTACTTCTTCTTTCTCTCGGAGATTTCGACTGGTTATAGTTGGTTTGAATCTCTTTTCTCTACCTTTGTGCGCTACACGGAGTGAGACAAGTTTGAACTGGTGCACTTCTGTGTAAAGTTCTACGTAGAAACTCAATTAGATAGTCAGGTAGCAGCCGCAATCTTTATACAGGTGGTAGTTGCATTTTTTTTCGCAAATATTTATTCGTACATGTTTCCTTACAATACACACCGAGTTAGTTTACCTCTCAAAGATTTACACACTGCTCCACTGTGACTCAAAATGTTTCATTCACAGTAATTTTTTTTTGTCATCACTCGTCTACGTCGTTTGTCAGTTAAAATGTTGAGATTTCCTGTACTCTGGACATTATTAATTGTCTAAACAAAAGTGACATTGTAAATAGTTAGCAAAGCAAAAAGTAGATGATAAACAAAGGATCTTCATTCGTATCATAACATCGTTGAGACTATTTAATACAGGCATACCCTTTACAATAAAAGACTACTGCAGCAATTGTTTTCCTGGCCAGAAAATACTTAGAATATCCAAATGATATAGTCCTCCCTCCTAGGTGAAAACGTTGGAAAAATGTGGTGTCTTCTAAATATTCTCAGGAACAACAATCTTCGAATGTTCGGCATGTAATTCGCTTCTGCTGTCAAATGTAACGTGATGCTAAAGGGAGTGGATTACATCGACTACTCCTAGCTTAAATATAGGGAGTGAAGTGGTAGATCATGCTGATCACTTTACATATTTGGGGAGCTTCACCAGCCCCAACGAGTTGAACGCTGACGGAATCACAGCATGGATACGGAAGACTCCTTTGGCATATGTGAACTTACTCCATCTCTGGCTTTATTAGAAGTGATATCTGGCTGTCTATCGACTAAATGGCCGTGTATACTGCTCAGTAGTTCGCTCCATCCTCCTTTATGATTGGCTAGAAGAAATAGCCATTGAAAGTGGAAGATATGTAAAGGCCAACTAGCTGTCATTGATCATAGATGTCTACGTTCTATCTCCCGTATTGTGGTATAATAGAGTGAGCAATATTGAGGTTAGGCATCGGTATAGTACTAGGTAGGGTAAGGATAGAAAATCTATTGAAAAGGTTGCGAAACTAAACTGACAGAGATCTTTAGGACATGTGTTGCTGTGCATGTGTAGCCTAGCCACCGCCTTCCTCGAAAACAGGCAATGTTCGCTCACATAGGATGTATCAGGCTGAAAAAGAGCCAGTGTTGGCTAAACCAAAGCATGACATCTGTCAGTGAAATCCACAACAGTTAGTTTAGGGCAGCTAGCCATGTAGTAATTTGCAGACTTCCTGGCTGGCTGAGGTCATCGGGATGGTAAAAGCAAATGGTGACTGGAGACAATTGGTTATATAGCTAAAAACCGTTCTCAATGGCGCAGATACATTCACTCTTTGTGATTTATCATATCCAATAAAAATCTACTGTTGTTGCACATTATTATTCGTTTTACCTCATATTTCTGTTTGTTATCCCTTTTGTGAATCTCTCTTTACTTTCTTCTCTTGCTTTCTGTGCTACATGGAATGTGGCAAATTGGACTACTGCACATCTGTGCAGAGTTCAACGTTGAAACCGGTCAGTCCATAAGATAAAATTCTTAAAGGGGAAAGTACTCAGTCTCTTGCATACAATGTTGGCTACTAATACGAACTCTAAGACGATGTCCTGAGATAAACACCATCTTAATAGATCAGTGGTGTCTAGCAGTGGAACTCAAGATATGCACTTCTTACCACTGGGGACTCATTTGCTGGATCTATCTGAAGTCTAAGTGGGTGATGGTATTCCCACTGAGGTGGGCATTCAGCACCCACCGTTCTAAACGCTAAAGCCACAAAATGTACATTTATATACATGTACACTTTTTATCAAGTGCGTCGGTGGCATAGCAGTTAGAACGCTCGCCGATCATGAATATGGTCCGGGGTTCAATCCCCAGCCACCGACTCACTCCTTTACCTCGCTAAGCCAGAAATAAAAGCTGGCAAAGAGGAAAAGTGTAGGCATGAGGCTAGCAACCCCATCCTGTAAAAATAACAAACACTGCTACAGAAACTTCTAGCTTGAAGGCCTATGTTCCACTGGGAACGTGAAGGAAGAAAAAAACACTTTTTATTAATGTCAATATTCACTTACTCAATGCACTGACTAGATTTTCGTCATCACGTTGTGGTTCGGTTGTTGAATTCTAAAAATACAAAATATCGAAGAAAGTTACTTAAATATAAATCTGCTCCGGACAAATAACTTGAAAATTAATTTCTACTTCAACAGTGGGACAAGTCATTCATGTATTGCTTAACTATAAACAAAACAGGATTATTCAAGTGTTGGTTTGTAGGGATTTGGTTGGTTTCAGGATTTCATCATGAGCTGACATTAGTTAGAGAACCATTGGAAAACCTCGGAGTACTGGGCAGCTGTTTCGTCCTAGTCTTGGATTCTCCATCAGCACGCACCCACCGGGGTTCGAACCCAGGACCTCCTAGTTACTGGGACCCGATCCGATGGCCCATAAATTCTAACTTCTAGGACTAACTAACTAGGACGAAACAGCTGTTCAGTACTCCCAGCTGGTTTTCCAATGGTTCTCTAACTAATGTCAGCTCATGATGAAATCCTGAAAACAGGATTAAGAATGCCTCATATATAATATAAAATGCTTATCCAAAACTTCGTTTTTTAGAAATATTCTAAGTAATATTCCTTACACTGTATAATACGACTTCTTCTCAGCTACTAACTACTACTGAACGTCTTATCATGAAGTCGTAGGCAGTACACATTGTGGAATATACTGCTCATTTCTAAAGTTAAGTAATCTTATTTGAAATCGGTGTGGAGATCCACAGCACTTACACAGACAACAAGTCCTAGAATGCCAACTGAGCGTTTCTATACAGTTCATAGACTTGATGAGTTACGAAAACATTTCATCAAAATTTGCCTCCTCTCAAGTATTGAAGATCAGATGACCTTCCAGAAAGAATAAGTGTAAAGCAAAATCCGAAAGTGAATCAGCCAACAACCTATAGCCCAACAAATATTGATTTGACTGTCAGTGCGATCTGGTAGACTTAGGAGCTTGCCGTTCTCATCACTATTGGCAACGACAACAACAACCACGACACGATACAACTGATACATGAAACAAGAAGGAAGAAGAAGACAGACCATTGAAAGGAGAGCCTGTACTATCTGGAATCAACAGGTAACAGGTTTGACAGTAATTCCGCATATACAGGTTTTCAAATGACCCTGAGGGACACTAATTTCATTGATTGTTTAAGACATTTAACAACCAAGAGGGTTCAGCTATCATAAACAAGGTGAATGCAAACATCCCCCTGATGTATATAAAGGTAGACGTTCAAAGCATTGGAAAAGTTAGACGCATATGAAAGCTATGATGAAGGAAGTGGAGATGGACTGGATATACTGCAGGGAGACCACTGAGTGACATTACACGCTACACCCTCGGGTGAAGCCGGAGTGGATAGAGACGAGTTGAGTCTCCAAAGGTCATACTGAGGAAGCTATGTGAAGACAAAATGAAAGCTCGTGGATATTTGTAGAACCAGTTGAAAATGACAGCAGAGGACTGAGGATAATGCATATGTACTTCTTAGGCCCTATGTTTCATTCGGAAATCAAGGAATCAATAATGATGCAATAAATTGTAATCATGTTAATAACAAAGACATCACAGAGACGTAGTTATCTATTACAGTGAATTGAAAGCAATCTAGTGAGAATACAAAAGAGGCTATGGTTGAGAATGTAATCAAACTTCTTTAAACTTTAACCGTTTAACAGCCTTAGAGTAAGTAACCAAGGTTAAATCCTCCCCTTCTGAAGATGTAGGTAGATTACTCTTTAACAGTTTAAGTCACCACATGTCACACTTACCATCAGGTCATCAAATCATTGACTGTGTTTCAAATAATGATCGTAGTTTCTATGGACTACTAAGGTGACTTGGTTTCGGCGCCTACATATTTCATAAAATGAAGTTTCAAATCAGTTATCTGTGGAATTGACAGAGGTCAAACGTGTTTAAACACTTCAATAAGCTTAGTAGTAGGAGATTCACAACCGTATTCACTCCTTTCCTTTATTTAGGAATCTAAACTGAGTATCTAATTTATTTAGTGAATTCATTACAATACTCAGCGAAGGGACTCTTTTCAACGAATTCGTTATCGAGCTGTACAATCTCATATATGTATATATGGTTTTATAAAGAAATTATATCCGATAAGGGAATTAAGTCAAAGGTGTGAATACATGACATAATAATAGTAGTATGAAATGCAATTAAAATATTTGTGATTATAATCATAGTTTAATGTCAAGTGGCAAAATAATTAATGTCATATATAGAATAATACATAAGGTGTATAGATTTTGGAAAGAGGTACAAACGCGGGAAGTTATATAGAATTCATGCTAACTTCCCGCGTTTTCTTCGTTACAGATTTCTAAAGACAGCTGAGGCCTTGGCAATTATTATCATTATTATTATTACTATTCTCACTCTGAATCTTTTCCACTTGCCCCACTTGACATTTTAAACCCAAAATTATTCTTATGGTTTGAAGTACAAAACTATTCCCATGAAAATTAACAAAATGGAAGTCCAGTCACAGTATGAAAACCTGTATGATCAAATCTCTGATTTAACTCCTTCTAGTAAAGATAATCTAGACTGGTTTAAAGTTAAGCTGGTGGATATTTCTCATCAATTTCTAAATGCTAGAATACACCAGAAAAATGGTTTATCAAAAGAACACCACGCCGCACTTAAGGAATTAATCCAAAAAGATAATCTTGTGATCCTTAAACCTGATAAGGGAGAAGGCGTTGTCATTATGAACAAATCGGATTATGAAAATAAAATGAAGGATATCCTCAAGGATCAGTCCAAATTTCTGGTGGACAATGCTACTGATAATGTGCTGCTTGTGGAAAAGCAGATCAATCGTCAGCTTCAAATTTTACTGATGCATGGTTTTATAAATGAAAAACTTTATAAACAACTTAAAGCAATTGGGTCACATACTCCTCAGCTTTATGGCCTTCCGAAGATCCACAAAACTGGGAACCCACTGAGACCCATCTTAGATATGTCAAATTCTCCTTACCATAAAATCGCCAAATGGATTACAGAGGTCCTTACGCCTGTAAGAGACTCATTATCAAATCATTCTATAAAAAGTTCATTTGATCTTACAGAAATGCTAGACACCTTGAACATTAAGGAAAAGGTTATGTGTTCAATTGACATAGAATCTTTATTCACCAATGTTCCCCTTCATGAAACTGTTGATTTCATTTGCGACTACATCACAAGCAACGGGATAAACTTACCTATTCCTGTAACGTACATCAAAGACATCATCTTAATGTGTACAGAAAATATTAGATTCACATTCCAAGGAAAAGCATACAAACAAATCGACGGTGTTGCAATGGGTAGCCCTCTGGGGCCCCTGTTAGCAGATATATTTATGTCGAAATTAGAGAAACAAATGCAAGGTATGCTTGGAGGATTTATGCTGTACAAACGTTATGTAGATGATACTCTTATTATTAGTAATAATAGCAAATCTATTGAAAACTTTATCACCCTATTTAATCATATCCATCCAAATATTCGAGTGACCTCCGAACTAGAATCCAATAACAAACTCGGTTTCCTGGATATTACTATGACTAGGAGAAATGATGGAACGATTCAGCGCTCTATTTTTCGTAAACAGACATGGAGTGGACAATATCTTCATTTTACCAGTTTTGTTCCTATCCAGTATAAACGTTCCCTGGTGAAATGTTTGTTCTCAAGGGCTCGAAAAATATGTACGAGTGACACATTGATGGATGAGCTTCGACATATACATTCAGTTTTACTAGCCAATGGTTATCCAGAAAACTTCATCAATTGTCACGGTAAGGATAGACCACATCTTGAAAAGACAGCTTCTGTACCAAAGAAAGCCATCTTTATTAATCTACCATTCAAGGGCGACCAGATTATGCAGTTGACAGCTCAAAGACTTCGGTCAGCCATCAAACGCACATTCTACGCCGCATCTCTTTTTCTCACTTGCCGAACATTTTCGATCCCTGTACCTACGATTAAAGGACGAAATTCTGTGGACTCTACTTCAAACTGTATCTACAAGTTCACCTGCAGCTGCGGTGACACCTATATAGGTAGAACTAACAGAATGTTCCAATGTCGTCGAAAAGAACATATTCCAAAATGGCTAGTAAATCATATCGAAAATCCTAACGCGATTAATCTTAGTAGAAATCCAGCATCATCCATTGCAAAACACTTATTAATGTCTGGTCACAAAATCAATATTAATGACTGTTTCACAATTATTTCACATAACTCTAATTCAAGGTTATTGAAGGTGATGGAAGCACTTTGGATTAATCACATACAGCCTAAACTGTGTGTACAAAAATCAATAGACTTCAATCTTCGCCTACCCTGGACTGCATGACCTATCTTAATATGATTGGTCATTAGTATGTACTTTTGTTTTTATTTAACTGAGTAATTTTCATGAACTTTATTTTATCATTGTTAACCATGTTAGTTGTAAAGCGGTTGTAAAGAAACTACGAAATGATGATCATCTCGCGAAATTTGTCTTCTTAATGCCTTATTCAAAATTATTCATTTGTATACTTTTTTATTTTTACAATATTGAATTCTATCTTATCAAATTTCACACCATGTTACGTAACATTTTATATTCGTCTACTAATCTTATAATTATGTACCTCTTTCCAAAATCTATACACCTTATGTATTATTCTATATATGACATTAATTATTTTGCCACTTGACATTAAACTATGATTATAATCACAAATATTTTAATTGCATTTCATACTACTATTATTATGTCATGTATTCACACCTTTGACTTAATTCCCTTATCGGATATAATTTCTTTATAAAACCATATATACATATATGTGATTGTACAGCTCGATAACAAATTCGTTGAAAAGAGTCTCTTCGTTGAATATTGTGTTCTTAATGCTACAATTGGAATTATTAAATAATTCATTACAAGTTAGTCAACCCATGAACATAACAGTAATCAGCAACTTGAAGGACTTATCAGGCATTTACATTTTGATGTCAACTCCTTCAAATGGGTGTTTTCTCATCTGTCCTGTCTCAGTTAGTTATTCACTAAATTACAGCAGGACGTTTGACCACCTGGATAAGAGGGAAGCATTCAGCTTCCAAGTAGAGTGTGGGTAGTTACACTGATGTAGCTGAGAAAAACAACTCAGAAATGAGTTAGATTTTTTTTTTCTGTAGTAATTTGAGGACTCCGCTAACGTCGAGACCTAACATGATTATATTATTTATTATTACTATTATTATTATTGTTGTTGTTCGATTGGGTTCCAAGTGGAACATACGGCTTCAACAGCACATCTCTACATTCTTCTATTCCTCCGGTCCTCTTTAGCTTATTTCACCCATTATCTCTCATCTCTTTCTAGAACGATCTCCTCCATGTCACCCTCACACCAACGACCCACTCCGCGTTTCCCATTTGACCTCCACTTGAAGGTCTGTTCGGTGCACGATGCCACCCATCGGTCTCATTAGCGTATGCCCAATCCATCACCACTTTCTTCTATATATATTTGTTGAGCACTCTAGCATGATTATATCCTAAGTCTGTTTAGGAGTTTATAATGAAAATTAGTTCAATAAGTAATGAATAATAGTAATAATTAGAGATCAACTAAAGATTGATTACATAACTGATTATCTGAATTAAGAAAATGGTAGAATAAAGTTTAATGTACACACAATCAATCAATAATGATGGATATTTGAGATTCTTCAGGAAATAGAATATTTTTATGAGGAAAGTCTTAAAAGCCGTCACACTCCTTAACAATAAGACCGATTCTACAAATAAAAGGGTATTCTAAAAGTTATTGAACGTTAGTTTCCGTCGAATTTGAGATGCCATACAAAAGACAGTTGATCATTCTAAATATATGTATCATTCCTTCAATCTTTGAAGTTTGTTTTTTACGGCGAAGGGTTGCTAGCCCCCACGCCAAACCTTACCTCTTCTCTTGGTTACGACCGGCTAGGTGGGGTTGAGGAGAGTCTTGGTCAGGAAATCTAACGCTGACGATAAATGCGGTTCGCGAACAGTCTGCCAGTGAACCACCGACGCATTCATGTTTATATACATTCAGATTTCACCTTATATATTTCCAGTTGGTGTTTTGATTAAGAAACTACAATTTGGTAGTAATATCAGTGTAACCGTAGAAAGGACCCTGAGTGACTGATATAAAACTGAAACCTTTTCAACAATAGAGTTATTATTCTTAATTGAAGTAATGACCCAGTATACTGTAGGTATTTCACTTATTGCCTTACTGAGCAGGCATACAAAAAGAATAAACATAGGGTTTAAGAAGTTTTCTTGATGTTCAACTTGATGTTTCAATTCTACCTCACAATCTCAAAACAAAACAAAAAAAAAAGGTTTTATAAAAAAATTCAGAACAGCATGTGGACTTACTTGAGGTTTTTGTAATCTATTTGGTGAAACTGTACTGCTACTCGTATCTAGATAATGCGTATGACAGAGTTCAAGCAGCATCATAGCACTAGCCAATCCTCCAATTCCATGATTTGTACACGTTTGTTCAAGACCACGTATCATACACTGAATTAACCAGATATACGTTTTATATTCATCCATACTAACAATAGGCTAAAGCAAGAGGATATAAATTATTTTTACAAGTAATAATAATAATGAAAACATGAGATGATGAAAGAATTTGAAGAAAGACGCTACAGAAAATATTGTTGAATTTATATGCACTCAGTAGACTAGCCAATAACCCATTGTGCAGTAGATATGCGAATGAAAGTGAAACTGTCAGGTCACACTATACCTAAGGTCCAAGAGTGAAACTCAGCTAGGAAGTGACACGTTTGGGGTCTGAGGATGACATGAAGAAAATTATACGACGAGGAAACAAAAGCCTGCAGGCTGTCGTCGAACCAACTGAGAGTGACGGCAGAGAACTAGGTACAATAGGGATGTGCTAACGGGACCCTTCGTTCTACTCGGAGCGCACATAACGAATAATGATAAAAATAATAAACAAAAAGGAAGCAGTATCCAAAAGAAACGGAAAGAGAAATTAGGGTGCTTTGGGAAGAACATTTCCCACCTGTAGACCCATTACAATTTACAACACGGTATGATTGTTTAATCAAAAATAAATCGATGAGTATCGTGCTCATGCCAACACTTACCACTCCACTCGCACTTGCAAAAGTAGGTACATACGAAGGACTGCGAAAGGGGCACCTACTAGATTCTCGGAACATATTTGAAAGGCAGCAAAGTTCTCAAGTACAACTGCCAGACACCTAATTGACGCGGGGCATACACTAGAAATGAATCAGGCTTTCAAAATAATCAATTAATAATCGATTTCATCATGAGCTACCATTGGTTAGAGAACCGTCGGAAAACCAACAGGAAGTACTGGGCAGCGGTCTCGTCAGCCTAGTTTAAAACTCTTCACCAGTACGTACCCAGCACTAGAGTTTGAACACAGAACCACCCGGTTACATGACGAGGTCACAGACCAATAAGCTACTGGTACCCTATCCAGTGGCCGAGCCATGAATTCCAACTTCTACCAATTCACGATTTAGAGTGAGCGGTAGCCAATATCATCGGCAGTGAGTATTATTCTTCACACCCGCCCTGATGTACCCCACTGGTTATGACTTCCCACTGGGACGAAACAACTGTTCAGTGGTTATTTAACCGATGTCAGCTCATAATGAAATCCTGTAACAGATCCAATTCCTGCAAGCCAACATTTGAAAAACATGGTTAATTCATTCCATAGAAGCCATTTCTATTAAAAGATGTTGACACAAACTCTGTATACAGAATGATAGCATGACTACTTTCCGGTTTGTTCGTGTGCTTTGTGCTTCTTTCTGTTGTCTAACAATTCACCTAATTTTCATTTTCACTCACTGAGTTGAATTCACCAAAACTACCTGACAGTTTTGCTTACGTTTAAATTCTACTTTCAAAGGATTAAAGATGCCCATTCAAAATTTCAAAAGATTGATTATTGAACAAAGGATATTCTTTTCGATAGCTTCATCATTAGGTTCTACAATGATTATATATCCATCCATAATAATGATAGAATGATTGTTATTGACAACATCAGTGGTTTTTAAAAGAAGAGTAACAACGAATCATTTAGATCGGACTTCAGAAAATTATTTTCAGTTAGATAGATAGATAGATTATAGTCCAAAATATATGTGTAGGTGATAATTATGTAGACTTGTAATACAAAATTGAACACCAATATGACAAAGTGAATGATTATGAGTGACAACGAATGTGTATTAATAAGTTCTCATGAGTCATGTTCATGTTAAGTTCCGTTCATATTGAATATAAACTTCAGTTGGATGAGTGATCATGGGGAGAGAGAAAAAGGTTCTAGTAGGGTTGAAATTTATGTGCGTTGTATAAGTCACTGTGTAAGTTAACCATTACGTTTAAATAAGAGAACAGTCCTTAAAGATTCTCTTTCTAATTGCGTCTATAAAATAAAATACTTGGAATGTGATGCGATCTACATCGGACAAACATCTCGAGAAATCAAAATCAGAAGAAATGAACACCGTAGAGCATCTCTCCGACCACCGAAAAATCCCGTTGAACTAAAAAAACTTGAAAAATCATCAGCCATAGGTCTACACGCTATAGAATCAGGCCACAAAATTGATTTTGACAATATTGAAATAATCCAGAAAAACTTCAGAAATCACAATCAACGTCTAATATCAGAAGCACTTCATATCAAGTGGAATCCGAATTGCCTGAATAGGAATGATGGACTAAAACAGAATCTGACCTGGCTACAACACCTCCCTCCCCTATGAAGTGACAAAATCAACACGAATGTGATAAGCAAGTTCACTATGTAAACACACGCTGCTTTTATAATTTTACACACCGATCAAATCCAACAATCTACACATAGTTTTGTTATCTTTACAAGTTGACCGACTTGACAACAAAAAACGACGCCAGACAGATGAACGATGATGATCAAGTTAGTAAAGTTTATTTTGATATCACAACAGATGTACTGTTACCTTTGTTATTTGGTTTAGCGATCTTCATTGTTATTTTGACTTTTAATATGTCCCTTTAACTTGACAGACGTCTATTTTCTCACCTCGTAACTCTTTGTTATATATATGTTGAGATTTTGTAAATTTCGGTTTAATAATACTTTGATAAAGCTATTAGCATTAAATAGCGAAACGTCACCATGGAGGGCCATAACAAAAGGGTCCATGTGATAAGGTATTTATGAATTTTGTAAACTCCACAGCTGGTCGAGGCAGTAACAACGGTTGTACCTGTCTTCTCTGCATACAGAACACCAGTTGACTCAGGCGAATAGCGATATCTTCTACTGTGTGGAGTTTGCGGTACCTGGATGATTTTGGCGATTGGTTCGGTACCCGACAGATGACGGAGAAGGACTCTTCAATATTCGCTTTGTGGCCAGTTTGAACCAAATGTTCTAATATGGAGCTATGGATGCTTTTAACTACACTTTTATTTAACCACACAGGTAGATGTTCCCTAGGAAGCATGAAAAATCAGGTTTCCATAGCAACGGCCAGTATAACTCGCCTCCGTCCTTGACATGATCACTCATCCAACTGAAGTTTATAATTAACATGAATGGAACTTAATATGAATAAGACTCATGAAAATTTATTACCGTACATTCACTGTCACTCATAATCATTCACTTTGTCATATTGCTGTTCAGTTAAGTATTACAATTAAACATATTACCACATACTCATATTTTATTTTATTTTTATTTTTGATTTACAGCTTGATTCCACACTGTATTTTCGGTACAAGTATGGAATTTTCAGCATGGATATCGCTAGCCCAAATTTTGCAGGCTGACCATAGATATCAGGTGTGCGTCGGTGCGGGCTCGAACCCGCATATATATATATATATATATTGCACTATAATGTATTCACAATCTAATTGGAAATAATTTTCTGAAGTCTCATCTAAGCGATTCGATGTTACTCTCCTTTTAAAAACCACAGATGTTGTCAATAACAATCATTCTGTCATTATTATGGATGGATATGTAATCACTGTAGAACCTTATGAAGAGGGATTTATTGAAAATAACACTCTTAGTTCCATAATCATTCTTTTGAAATTCTACTGTCATTTTCACTCCCACCCCCCCCCATTGAACTCCCCGTCATCATTTGTATAAATTCACTCTGTCTGTAGTCAACTCTTGTTTCCAAGAGAAATCTGAAGCCTAATCGTTGTCCCCTGTTTAATTAGACTATAAGCAGTTAATCTTTTAACGCATACATCATTTTTGAAATAGCGTTGTTTGTTCCCTTCTTTCTATAATTCGAGGTCACGGTAAAAAAAAAATTTTGTAACATATAATTTGATTTTGTTTAAGATTAAGGCAGGTGAAAACAATCCACGAAATAAAACAAGCTCACATTATCCTGCAAATGTCTTCTTCCTTTCTAATTTCAATCCAGTCGGAGAGAAAACCGGTTGTTTGAAAATAGTATATGATGCAATGTAATTAAGCCTATTAGAATGGCTAACCTTGAAATATATATAGATCGACTGATAACAGCAGAAGGCAAGACACAGAAACCAAAGTATATTTTCAATTGATCAACCTGCTATTTATATACCTATACAGTTTATATTCTTTGACCAGTCACTGAGCGTGTCATTTTGATTTACATTAAACGACATGAAATAGAATATTCAAATACATATAAAGCATTCTAGAAGTTAATTGGTGGATGACGACTATCAGTGGAATCCAGGATAACGCGCATTTCGTCCTATTTGGGACTCATCATCTGGATGGACCTGCATTACCCAGTTAGTGATGATGTTGGAAACTACAGGCACTAGGTTCGAGCCTCGGCGGGAACATCATCACTCTCACTGAGGAATGCAGGTACATCCAGTAGCTGAAGAGTCCTAAATAGGACTAAATGCGCATCCTGGTGGATTCCACTGTTAGTCACCACCCACCAATTAACTTCTAATTACATACCCAGGTGTGGTGAGAGCAGGCTGCTAGCCGATTGGTTGGCACTGATCTACGTTAAGGTATAGGTCACTAATATGGGCCGTGAGAAAATATGAACAAGGCTGAGTCAACAACCAATCACAGCAAAGTTAACGTGGCAGAATATGATTCGCAGAGAGAACTCTATTTGTCAAGGAATCCCGAAACAACCAATCAGAAGCCTGCGTTTGTCTACCTAAACAACCAATCAGATGACTGCGCTTGTCTATAATAATGTAGTTGAAAGATGTATAAATACGTGTTGATTTTCATAATAAAACGATCTGTTGCCTGGCCCTTGTCTTCTGTTGTTACATTTGGTGTCGCTGCCTACCGACAAATGAAAAGCCTATACCCTGCAGTTTTTGATGGAGACATATGGATCTTCGGGCAGGACTTCAAGGCTTCTGCGCAGTTGAGTGGCGTTCAAGATCTGTCAGCGATGGAGCTGCTACTTGAGACGCTGCTGGGAGGTCGGGCGAAAGCAGCATATGAAGGTGTGGGCCGAAGTATGGACGAATGTTCGACAGGGTCAGGCAAACAGTTTCCAAAGTGGGAAGGACCATATATGGTCACTTCGAGATGGGGTTACGCAGACACAGTCGCAATGGCGAACAATGAGAGGCGCGTGAACGTCAGCGAGCTCCAGAAATGGATACAGCGAGACAAGCCAACGATGACGCCTGCACCAAGTAGATCAAGCCGACTTCAGTCGCACGTATTTGACGGGGGGACGAGTGTGGTGAGAGCAGGCTGCTAGCCGATTGGTTGGCACTAATCTACGTTAAGGTCTAGGTCACTAATATGGGCCGTGAGAAAATATGAACAAGCCTGAGTCAACAACCAATCACAGCAAAGTTAACGTGGCAGAATATGATTCGCAGAGAGAACTCTATTTGTCAAGGAATCCCGAAACAACCAATCAGAAGCCTGCGTTTGTCTACCTAAACAACCAATCAGATGACTGCGCTTGTCTATAATAATGTAGTTGAAAGATGTATAAATACGTGTTGATTTTCATAATAAAACGATCTGTTGCCTGGCCCTTGTCTTCTGTTGTTACACAGGCATTGTTGAAGCGTCTGCACATGAAGCCGACATGTCAGCCTGAGACCGAGCACTTCGGTCCACCCAATTATATATAGCATTCTGTTGCTAATACATTGTTGAGGTGAGGGAATACATGAGAATACTATTCCTTCGGAACACACATTGTCTTTATCACGCCTCCACAAACTTAATAGTTCTTTAAATATTTAGCTGTAGTGACACAGATATTAAACACCTATACACACAAATTTTTACGAAGTCAAATAGGTTCAATGAGAAACATTTAGGAGAATGAGAAAGTCTTTAGCGTAATTATTCTTAACATTTATGCCACTCAACATTAGGTCTCTGAATGATAAGCAGAAATGAATCTAAGTCCAACAGTAAAATGTCATCTTAGACAAATGCATCAATTAAGAAAGCTGTACTAGTATTATTTGGACTGAAAATCCCCTCATGAACAATCTATTTACAGTATTGGTATCTGCCTGAATAATTCAACTAATTTTGTAATCACTATACCTTTTCCATGACCTGAATGGCATCGTTGAAAACATTCGCGCAGCTTCTTTTGACTGAATCCTTATTATTATTGATCCTTGTTTTCGAGTGATCTCCATTTTTAATGCCCTACTCTTTAGTGTGTGGTTTGATAATGTTAGTAATAATGTGTTGCTTTACCAGTGTTATTTTTTTTTATTATAGGTTGACTACACACTATACTTTTGGTACAAGTATGGAATTCTCAGCATGTGATATATCGCTAGCCTAAATTTTGCAGGCCGACCAGAGATATCAGGTGTGCGTCGCCAGGGGATCGAACCTCGGAGCTAGTGCATGAACGGCATGAACGACACACATCTGAATGAATTAAAGGTTATGCTGTGGACGGACTGTATCAGCTTAGTAGACTGTCTACTGGAAATGTGTTTGTGTTATATTTGATCCTTGTAGAGCGAGTTTTGATCTTATTTCGCTGAGAATATTCTCTTTGATTCTCAGGAATTTTATGGTTATGCCAGGTTAGTTAGTTAATTTTGTGTAATTTATAGAAGTTTAGCAAGCCATGTGGAAGAACTCATAGATTGGTTTCTTGGGTTGAGCTCACAGTACCCGGTTTAGGTCATCATATAAGCTGTCTTGCTTAATATATTTACCACACTCCTGAGAGAATATGATGAAGAAAAGGTATATAGGAAGGATGCATTCTGTTTAGATAAGAGTGTATATTTCGAAAACAATTTTAAACCCCTCTAATTTCATCGGTAAACTACAGGATCAGAAATTGGTTAATTATCGGAAAATTCGAACTGTCTGTATTCCCTAAGCTGTTTGATTCAATTGTGACGCTTTTGTCGTCACCTTCTTGACAACATCTTCAGTGCAAGTTTTAGTATAAAATGGACATACGTAAATTCTCCATGAATAATGGTATTGTACATCCTGACAACCATTGTGTTGTGACTAGTTGTTAATTTACATCTATACTGATCATTTTATTGACTTAAAATTTGAACTATCTCATCATGGGATTTATTTTTTCTATTAGTTGGTAAATTCAGTCTACAATAATGTGTTTGTGAATCGCTAATTCACTTGACTATCAGGCTTCTAGAAATCCCCTGGCAGTATATTTTGATGTTCCCCTCTATTTAAAATTTCTACATTATACCTGAGTCGATAGCGCAGCGGTAGAATGCTCACCGACCACACATGTGGTCCTCGGGCTCGATCGCCAGCCGACTCACTCCCCAACCTAGTGAAACCAGTAATACGATTGGTAGAGAGGGAAGGTTGGGCATGAGACTATCAACCCCATCCTGTAAAAAAAAAAATAAACACCACTGCTACAGAAACTTAAAGCATCTAGCTTGAAGCCCTATGTACGACTGGTTTCCATAGTTACCTGCATACATTGATATGGGAGAATTTATATGTATATTGTCTTCTTACAGCTGATTCGTCTACTCAGATTCTAATTCGAAGGGGACGCTCACTTTGACCGATGTAATGTCTGTTACACTTCATACAGTTTATTTTATAAAAAGGTGTTAGCTTTATCTTCTATTCCTGTTGGATCTTTCAGTTCACACAATATCGAATGAAGTGATTGTGTTGGCTGACTAGCTGGCTTGTGTGCTATATCTATTTCAAATGGTTTCAATATTCTAGCTGTTAATTCAGAGATACTTTTTTTTTATATACGGCAGGGTGAATTTTCTTGTAGTTTTTAATGATGGTTCCTTGTTGGTGTTGTTCTTCTTCGATTTTAAACACTCTTTGATGAAATTTTGAGGATAACCATTCTGTTATGTACTCGTCGCTAAATTATTGTTATGGACTAGTCGAGAAACTAATAGTCCTGACGCAAGAAGGCGGAAATCAGAAGACCACTAGGTTTGCGATGATACTTCTATTTTCCAGACACAAAGAGAATGCAAAAGTGGTATCACACCAAAGTAAGTAGGTCACACAAATTGTGAGAGCGAAATATATATGAATGTCCAGACAAAGTGTGTGAACAAATCATTAGACAGTCTTAACATGAATGGCTAATTATAATGAAGTATCGATCCATATATACATAGCGAAATATAGCAGACATGTCAACAACCACCATATATGGATATATGTCACCAAGCAACGGACTGTCAACAAACACTCATATTATATATAATATAAGGGAATATACATTATTAAAGGAGACAGGTTCATCAAAGTGAAATGGTCACAGGCTAAGCGAGCAAACAGAAAGAGAAACCACCATACATATATATATATGGATACATATCACATTCTTTATGAAGACGGTTAGTAGATATTCTCCCTCCATTCTCTTCAACACTGGAGTGCTACAGTGTGTTTAAATTCTTTTACACAATGTCTGAAAATTCGAATGATACAACGCAGAAAAAGATGTATATCCGAAAGCTATGAAATTTAACTTGGTACCTGAATTTTAGTACAACTTTATTGTATCCATAAAGGTGTTGGATTTAGTTTCTATGAATTGTGTTTGATTTTCCCCTCCATTTATCCAGTAATTTTTAAACGTACATCAAATTCCTTGATGCACAAACACTGTCTACTTCATCAAACTGAAGTCAGCCAATCAGTCTTTTCCTTCTCCCTATCTTATTCCTTTACGTTCCGAGTGGAACATAGGGCTTCTACCTAGAGCTTTGAAGTTTCGGTAGCACTGATTTTGTTCTTACGGGTTGGGGTTGCTAGGCTCATGCTCAACCTTCCTCCTTTACCAGCCTCACTATCTGCTTAGCGATGTGAAGGAGTGCATCGGTCAGGGATTAAATCCTAGACCAAATTAACGCTTGCCAAACAGTAGACCGCCCAACCATCGACCGTGAATTTGCAGCACTATCTTTGCAGTAATTCACCCTAGTAATGCTCATTGAAGGATGTTTGTAAAGTGTCCATCTTTTTGCGATTGCGAGACAAGCATGCTTAAAGTCGAATACATAAAGTGAATGTAGGTTTCTGTTCATAGATGCCTTCATTCGATTGTTTGTGCTAAGTAATTTAAAACTGTTATTACTGATAAGGTTAGCAGTAGTCTGTTAGTTACTAACGATAATTAATGTGACAGGCCTTTGAAAATTCACAAATGTGAATTATTATGGTATTTTCTACGTATGCAGAATCAATGCCTTTTCTCAACGAGCCATCCAAGCTGAAATCAAATCATGTTGGAAATGTAATTTACCAGAGAGCAATCACACTTAAAAAAATGCGATCAATTTAATGATTTTCGGTCTCAGCATAAATAAGGTGTGGATTACATGGCCGGAAAAGCCTCACGGTGCTAAGAACTAATGGTTGGAGACTTTTTATGATAGGACAGAAAATAGTCTGCAATACTGATATGTAGTCACATAATGTCTACCTTCACAGTCACTTATATTTTGCTATGTGTATATTGATCGATATTCCATTATAACTTGCAATATGCTTTGTCTGTTCATTAACTAAATAAACAATGTATGACCTTTTTGCCACATGATAATACAACCAATCAGAATCCAATCATGATAAGATGTCTATCTTATAGGTTCATGTAGATTAGTCATTTTCGTATATACTTTTGTATTGTACACTTTTATACACACTTGTTCACACCTTTCGTACAATACGTACCCTTTCACTCACACACTTGTGTGACAGTCAATTTCCCTTGTTGAAAAATGTAAGTATCATCGTGAACGTGGTGGCCTTCTGATTTCCCACTTTTCGAGTCAGGACAAATAACTACTCGACGAGTACACAACAAATACCACGTATCTATCCACTACTTCTTATCTTTTGTATAAAAACCTGGAAAATTAGTTATTTTTGGGATTTACTTTTTGAAAAAAATCAAGATTTTTATTGCCATAATAAAAACTTAATTATAACCATGAAAAGTGAAACATATTTTACATGACAAAATACCAAAGTATACATAAAAATAGCGACAGAGCAGTTGTCAATGTAGTTGAAGATTGAACGATCAATTCGTGGTTGTTTGTTCAAAACCAACTTCCCGAATTTTCGCGGAGGCATCAATACGACAGTCATTGTCTCATCGGTCGCTGTTCAGAAAGAAGTCAGGAGACAACTGTCAGAAACCTTAGTTGTAACATTGTTTATATGTTGGTGTTACAATAAAGAATCCTCGAGTCGCCAATTGGTGTTTTGGTTTTTGCGTCCGTTATTACTAAGCGTTTCTGAGAAACTTCAAGGAACAGCGTGAGCCCAAGTGCAGCAAGAGCGGGGCATTGACGGTTTACGAGACGTGGCTGACAGCAGTTGTAGAGACAAATTCCCAATTTAAAAAAGGTTACAGTTTGCAATGAAACTTTATCACGTTCTCTTTTGAAAACTAACAAAACTTCAGACGACGAAATGTCTTCTGCCTTTATAACATAAGTGGGGACCAAGAAATTACGCTTAATTACATGATGATATATATTAGTGCTTTATATGAACATTTGGAGTCGACTTACGTGAACAAGTAATGCCTGCTGGCCTGACCAAATCAACTGAAGTGATCTAAACTCTGGACGCCTGTTTCGCTCTTTTGCAAATGATTTATTGCCTCAAGGATATCTGGATATTTCTGCTTTTTTTCACAGGGAAATTTGAGAGATTTGGTTCTCTGAACCGAATCAAACCTGGCACACTACAAATGAGCGCTGTCCAAAATGAGTAGGACGAACGTCTATCAGTGGTGTTTCAATCACCTCATTCTGGCCAAGCTAGTAGACATTACCTTCAAAAGGAAGTGATCTGAAACTACTTATATCAATGCATAAGTAGCATATACCAGGAAAAAGTGGTGTAACTTACAACATCTGGAATACATTCTTCAGGATTTTCAAATGCTTTTAATAGTCCACGATTTAATTTTGACATTAAATAATTACGATAATTTTCGTCGTTCAATAATTCTTTAAGACGATTCACTGAGAATTTTGTTGTAATACCAGTTTGTCTTTCATGTATACATTGGACTAGATCACGAAGAAATTCTTGATCTGCATAACTATTATGAAGGATATAAATCAAAATAAAGCAAGAGAAAGACTTTAATTTCAATGAATGATCAAAATATTTCGATCAGACAGACAAAATAAATAAAAGACTACCAATGTAGTAGAGTGTAATTCTTGAAATAATAATAATAAGGATTTGTAGCTCAGGTGGACAATTTTTAGTTGGTTTTATTCTTGGAGCCGATTAATTTAACTGTGAAGACTTTGTCGTCCATCTAGACAACTGCTTTAGCACAAACTGCCCAATATGAAGTCGACTTATTGGAATTTTCCATGGTAATAATAATACCGTATTGTGGCGTGTTCTACTGATATCATTTTTCAGTAGTATATGTATATATACAAAAAATCAACACTAGCAAAATCAAAATCCACGGACAAACTAATTTCTTCCACTAACCTTTTTTGTAGATTAACAAGATTTGAATTTACACCTTCCTTTGAGTTAATCCTATTCTCATTAGTATGATTATCTTCTCGATTCAATCCTGAATGCTCATCATTCTGTTTAAATTTACCAGTCCCAAAATGAAAAATCTGCTTCTTAGGTAGATTTAAAACAAATTTCGATGCAGATTGAATAAGATCAACATCAGATTTTCGACGATTCATTTCGGTGGATTTATCTGTATCACTTAGCTTATTAGTATTATCATTATTATTCGTGTTATTTATTCTCGCCACGTCTTGCTTAACACTTGACTTTATTTCTGTGGCCATTTTCTTCATTATATTACCTGATTTACTAACAATTTTCTTTTGTTTATCTAGAGGGAATGATAACAAGAGAAGACTGAATCAAAGTCACAAAAACACAAAGTTATTTCATTGGTAACAGGATTTCACCATGATCTAACACCGGTTAGATAACCATTGGAAAACCCACCAGGGAGTACTGACAGACAGCCTAGTTTGAAACCCTCCGGCAGTACGCATCCACCACCAAAGTTCGAACCTAAAATCTTCTGGTTAGAAGGCGAGCTCATAGACCATTAAGCGGCTGGGACCCGATTCAATGGCTGGTCTGTGAATTCCAACTTCTACCAATTCATGATATAGCGCGACCGCTAGCCAATATCGTCAGCGAGTATTTGTCCTCACACCCGACCTGCTGCACCCTACTGGTCATGACTTCCCAACAGAATTCCAGGTAACTGCCTACCTGAATGGGGCCAGCTGCTAGTGAGTATCTCATTGATATTCAAGTATTCCTTTTTAGGGATTTGATTGATTGGTCGGGTGCTTACTGATGAAGAGCCCCAAACTAGGCTGACGAAACAGCTGTCCACTATTCTCTCCAGGTTTTTCAATGGTTCTCTAACCGATATCAGCTCATGATGAAATCCTGTAACCAATCAGTCAAATCCCTACAAACCATTACTTGAAAGTTATTTCAGTTGTTTGATTTGTTCATGAACCAATATTGGTTAAAGAGATCATTGAAAGTCAGGCAGTACTGAGTAGCTGTTTTGTACAAGTTTGGAATTGACTTTTCTGTAGGGTGTATGACCACGATTACCACTATGGACTAAACTCAGGACCTTCAGGTTACGAGACAAAACTTGGTGACCATTCATTCACTTTTGCTGATTACCTTCAATTACCACTGAATTCTAACTTCTGTCAATTTGTGATATAACCCAACCGTCATCTAAGGCGTTGACAGAGTGGACCTCACTGCTTATGACTTCTCAGTACGGCTTCAAGACATCCATCCAGTAACCATCAATGAGCTTATGATTGATATGTAGATTATGGGTTTGTAGAGGGGCTTGGATTAAGCTGAATGCAGATTTCTCCACAAGCCAACATTAGTAAGAGATCATTGAAATACAAAGAGCACTAGACAGCTGTTTCTTCCTAGTCTGAGATCTGAAGGACTGAGGTTCAACCGCTGGTGGAATCGTACGTGTATACTGCTGAAAACAAACGATTGTTGTTCATTGAAATCTTTATTCCGACTAACGTTTATTGGACAGAAATACTGCATTTCAGTTGATATGTTGCCCCCTAGTACGTATGCTTCGATGGCACCTTAAGGTTTCGATACCATTAGGAATACCATTACTCCCTGAGGAAAGAAAATACATGCAGTTAACTTCTCCGAAAGTTGAAACAAACACACGTGCTAAATTCTGCTGCCAGCTACCACCGATCAAATTAGATTGTTATTGTGTATAACAGTTAAATATACTCAGTATACATTCCTTCATTTATGAATTTCATTTTATGTGGTAGATGTTCTATGTCTGACTGAGGAGTTACAGAATTGTGAAAAAAGTCTCCGTATAAGTGGATTTTGTGAAAGGAACAAAACTGCTTTTGTTTTGTTTTCCATACGAAACTGTGTAATCTGCAAACTGAGAACATAATTCTATGTATTACTAGAAGCTAGATTAGATTCTGATGATTCGAATTGATTCAGCTCTGTGACATACACTGAAGTGAAGACACCACTAATTTTTTCGGCCGCAAATCAATGATGCTAGATGACCCAACGAAGGACTAGATGTGTGGCATCAGTTACTAATTAATATCTCACTGACCAGTGAGTCCTAACAAGCATGAGAGCTTCTAATAACAGCAATTAGGAGTGCAGCGTGATGGCAAGCCACCTAGCATGCTTGACGGTCACAACGCGAAACATGACTGATGGAATTCAGTCTGCACCAAATGAAGGACTAGAGGCAAAACATCATTTACTACCAAGTGTCTGATGAAAGTAAATGTACGACCTGTTTCCTAGTAGACGGAAAGATAGATAAACGTAGTGAAGCGCGCAAATGCCAGTGCATTCAAGTTATAACAGTACGAAACACTGCACAGTAAATACCTGAGCATAAAATGATAAAACAATTGAAAAAATATATATATCTGAGGGCAGATATAATACTTCAATAAACACTGGTGAAGAAAATAATCAGAATTGTGTATTCCACAGTAATAAATTCTGATTAAGTCTTAATGATACCCATCACTAAATGATCAATAGTATTCCTCTGAAGACCTCTTTGTCAAAAACAACCTACACTCTTCAATGTCCATATGATTTATCGACATGTGTCATGTCCTGTTCCCACCATTCTTATCCCTTTTCTTTTTCCAACATAAACTGCTTTTAGACATATAAGATTACGTAGGAGTCTTTAATTTCTAATGAGATATGCTGTTATGAATCGCTTACAAATAGATAAATCAAAGTTGCTATTATTTATGCAAGAAAAGAAAAAGCCTCAAGCTTACTTACTTAATAAACCTGACAGAGTGGTAGAAGCATGACTAGCAGCATCAGCTAAATTATCGCTTAGATTATTGAATAAATACTTCCCCACAGATGTTTGTTCCATATCATCATCATCATCGTCGTCGTCGTCGTCCATATTGTCGTCTACACCTTCTGTAACATGGTTTCTAACGCTTCCTACCTGTTCTTCTCCATCATCTCCTAGTCCTTTAGATTCATTACTTTCACTTCTATTTATCATTATCTCTAATGGTTCTTCTTTATAATGTACTGATCGTTTATTGCCTTCATGAGTACTGTCCGATTGTTGTTTGTCTGAAGTTTTACGTAGTGAAGGTTTACGTATAATAACTGTAATGACAAAAGAATGCAAAAGTAGTACATATGATAACAAACTGAATGAACTGGTAGAAAAACTCTTCATTATCACAATACTGAAAGGTAGAAACTGCTACTTTAGTAGGCAAACTTTCGCAACTGGATGACATAACGATCTGTGCTGGCTGAATGGTTGGGTGAGACGTATGGTCCTGCATCTCCTTACAAAATAAGTAAGGTCATTTGATTTGGGGTTAAACTAAAAGCAGTTACCAACAAAGTGTAAGCTGTCTACACTATGTTGGGGCTCTGAGGGTAATATCATACATTTAGGGGATACAGGTGTCATAATTTCATCATGAACTGACATCGTTTAGAGAACCATTAGAAAACACCGTAGGGAGTACTAGAGAGTCATTCCGTCCTAGTTTGGGACTCTCCTGCCCACTGAGGTTCCAACCCAGTACTCTCCGGTTACAAGGCAAGCTCGTAGATCATTAAGCACTTGGACCCAATCCAATAGCCAGTCTATGAATTCCAACCTCTACCAATTCACGATATAGAGCGAACGCTAGACAATGTCATCGCTGGCAATTATTCATCCTCACACCCGGTGATTTGGTGCTGCTGAAGAGTTTAAAACCAGAGCGAAACACCTGTACAGTACTCCTAGGTTTTCCAATGGTCCTCTAACCGATGTCAGTTCATGATGAAATCCTGTAACCAATCAATCAAATCCCTGAATACCAGCACTTGAATACAGGTGTATCAACAGTGAAATGACAAGTCAGGCAAATGAAAAACAAGCCTCTTGTGGTGACGTATCATCTTATATCTGGCGGTCTGCTTAAACCAGTGGGCTACCAAATATTTCGCCATTTAAATGCATCATATTTACTCTATTTCATATTGTTTTAACCATCTAACTTCATTCCTGAATCACAACATACTCTCACGCACGTTTTGAAAAAGGTTTCCATCGACTGCTATGAATTTTCCGAGAGAAACAGACGAGAAACTTCAAGTAGATATGCAGTATGCTTTCAGTGAAACAGTATTGCTTTAGTTGATGCATTATCAATTATAACATAACCTGAAAATCTTGCACGTGCAGTAAACCCTTTGCAATTAAACAAGCTGAAAATTCTGTACTATATTTAAAACGAATTTCTCAAAATAAAGCTATTATTATCCACCTTAGGGAGGAAGATTAGTAAACGTCAACCCTAATAATTATATATCCTGACTTCCCCTGCAGCGATCATTAGCCCGTGGTAAGGAGTCCCTACAGATAACAATTCGAAAAACCACTTTTAGTTCACTTTTACAGTAATCGCGAGTCAAGATATACAACACTACTTTCACTGATATGATTCAAAAGTGTTGAAAAATCGTTCTGTTGAGCTTTGAGCACATTAGGGATATTCAAGGCAAGAAAACCGTTGTATACAGTGCCTAGATTATATTATTTGTGTAGGTGCAATGCTTTTCCTGCATTAGTCATAAATGATAAGTATTCGAATTACAAATCTTAGATGAAATCGAAATATGGGAATGTGCATATATATGGAGCGACTATCTCCTACCGTAATCGTCTGCGTTCAATTTCTCATGCTACGTGATATAATATGATCAACAATAATGAGGTTAGGCATGATGGGTTAGGTAAGGAGGGAAGGTTAAGCTATGAGACTGTGAGGTTGTATTGACTAACACAACTAGGAGACGTGTTATGCATGCCGAGACATCACCTTTCTCAACAAACAATATTAGTTAAAGAAGGACTAGGGTTTCAGAGAAGGTAAGTTTGGGGCAAATAAGAAAAACTAAATCAATCTATCAAGTTCTAGACTATGAAGGTATGAACTGTGTAGCTGGATTCCTCAAGATTTTAACAAGCGCTATATGGAAACTTTTGGTGAAATTGCTCGAAATCATTTTCAGTGTCGTAGATGTGTTCTCCCTTTCTTACCTTCCAGGTTCTAATAATCCTTCTTATTGCAATTAGTTGTGTTCTCTGACCTAGTTGGTTTAACTGCGGAGCTTTCGTCGTCCTTCTAGACAACATCTTCAGCACAAGTTTCAGCATAAAATGAAATGATTCAAGTTTTCTATGAATGATAGAATTGTCTCTCCTGACGACCAATGCCGTGACTGAAAGTCGACTTTCATCTGTACTGATCATTTTTATTGACTAGGATTTTGAACTATCTTGTCACGTGATTTACTTTTTATTAGCTGGTTCAAGTCTCAAAAGGGACATGAATTCCTTTAATTTGGTTGCAGATACGCCTTGCTGACGAGTGCCAACTAACACGAAACCTAGGTTGAGCAAGGCTTACTACCGATTGCCTCCAACCATCTAATACTAACAATTCACAGTACACCATAATGGCGAGCCATCCTTTGTACATATTCCCATTTGTTTTTTACATTTTCTTTGTGTTTCATTTCACTGTGAAGTCTGGTAAATTTAACTGCCATAATTCTGTGTAGCGACGTTCTACGTAGAGTATTTAATTCAGGTTCATTTTTAACCCTTTCCTCACCCCACTACTCCCAGTTTGTATGAACACGCTCTTAATGAAATTGTTATTTCTCCAAGCCAATCCTCTGATCTGTGTTCAAATTTTCGTCAACAGTCTTCAAACATCTGTTGGGATTTTAAGTGAAGTCTTCCTATATTCATCTTGTCAAAATGAGTTTATTGACTGCACTTTTGATTTTCCCAACAAGGCTCAAATGAAGTTATGCACGAGAACGTATACGAGAGTGTTGAAACATATATTCATCTATTCCTTTTCCCTATTTGGCGATTACCAGATTTCTGTAGACAGTCAAGAATAAGGTTGAACAAGAAAGGTCCATTGGATTAAGCACTCGACTTTCAATGGTTGATTCAGGGTTCCAGTCCTACTCATCTGATTGCAGCCCTCTTCACAACTGGACGCCATCATCTGCCCTCACATAATAAGTTTAGCTCATAGACTAAAGAACAAGAAAACCGTGTTTCAGGTAAAAGAGTTCTAACTGACTAAATGCCTCAGTTTCAACATTAAACTTTGCATAGAATTACCGCACTTCAGGTTACCACACTCCATGTAGAGAAGAGAAAAAAATTGATAAGAACTATAATAAATGGAAACCTATCGTAGAAAATATAGTAACACATGGTGAAGCATTAGGATTTGATGGTTAACGAAGATCTCAGGTGAGAGAAGGAATTTGAGCTGCTGGGAAAGACCTTGAACCATATCACAAACAGTCTGCAGTCACTGTTTCTTAGAGTTCCTGGAACTCCAAACAGGCAGTCTACACCCCAGTAAATCACTGACTCAAATCACTAATAATTCTTTACCAACATAGTCTTATTTCAGTTGACATTCCTTGTAGATAGAAGCGGTGACTCGACATGTGTAACATGTGTCCTATTTATCTTTATCGACTTTCCTTCAATGCTTCATCAACTGACTTGCTGTTCTTACCTTACTCTGTAGGCATAACCTCAATATTATTTAACATACTATGCAAGATACGCCTTCATCAACGTGAAACCAGTTTGGAAATCTGCTGTCACTCAGCTGGCATAAGGAACAAGATTCAGACTTTAAACACCAATGTCAAGTCGGTCCTTCTATACAGGTCAGAAACTTGCCACTGCATGTAACGAAAAGGATTTCAGACAGGTTGCAGGCTTCCATCAACAGCCACCTTCGCTCCATACTGAAGATTGAATGGCCAGAAAGAATAAATAACAATAAACTGTGGGAACAAATCAACCAAGAACCGATCGCTCAACAAATATGTTGGAGAAAATGTAGATGAATCGGCACACATTGAGGAGACCGTCGAATGACATCTCGCCCCAGGCCCTCGAGTGAAATCCTAGTGGGAAGCAACGAGTGAGCCTTCAGTTTGAGGGTGACATCGATGAGATCGTGTGAGGAGGAAATGAAAGATAGTGGGCAATTGTGTTCCAAGCCGAAGAGGATGGCAGAAGATAGGACAAAGTGCAGATGTGTTGCTGAAGCCTTATGTTTCACTTGGAACTCAAGGGAATAATAATACATAATATAAACAGCACTCAGCATTAAAAATTATATCCGGATTTTCAACTCCAATGTAAAATCAGTGCTTCTATACGGATCAGAGACTTGGCGAGCCATAAGCACCATCTCAAACAAACTTCAGACCTTCATCAACAGTTGTCTTCGCTCAATACTCAATATCACATGGCCAGAAAAGATCAGCAACAAAGATCTCTGGGAGCGAACCAACCAGGAACCGATTGTGAAACAAATAGGTAGGAAGAAATGGAGATGGATTGGCCATACCCTGAGGAAACCATCAAGTGACATCACTAGACAAGCCCTCGAGTGGAACCCGAAAGGGAGGCGGCGAGTTGGTCGTCCAAGCGTGACTTGGAGGAGGTCATGCGAGGAGGAGATGAAAGCATGTGGGCAGACTTGGAGCGAGGTGAAAAATTTGGCAGAAAACAGAAGACAATGGAGGTGCGCAACTGAAGCCCTATGTTCCTCCAGGAATTAAAGGATATAATAATAATACCTGTGCTCAATACCATCTACCCTCTCCAGGTCTTTCACTTTCAAGAACCATGTCTCATAGCTGTGATACCTCTAAGAATTCCCAAGAAAATCGGAAATACAAAAAAGATGGTAGTTAGAATGCCTATATCTGCTACACAAACAGACGAGAACATTCCCTTCATTTTTGTTTCGCTCAATACAGACTAGCAGGTAAAAGACATGTGGAAAACTATAAACATTCAAATGAGACCATTTAAAACCCTAGATAGAGGAAACACCTAGAACATCAAAGAACTCCTAGACACTTAGTACTGCGACCAACAAGCAATTACTCGACATTTGGATACAGATTAAATTTATCAATCGATAAAAAATAATGGATGATGCAAGCAAAATGTCAGTTATCAAGTCAACGATAGGATCAATGTCAATACAAGTGGATACAGTCAAAAGCAAATCTATAGGGAAAAGCGAAGATAACCAAGGGAAACAAATATTCCACCCAGGAAAATAATTCTCTAAAGCCCCCCCCCCCTTTACATTAAAGTTAGCGCTGAAAATGCTATTCTTCAGAAGAACAATTAAAGCTTCGCAGTTAAACTATCCAGCATAAAAAGAGAACACAATAACGCCGAGAAATGAGTAAGTTTCATAAACTGAACTCTACCGAAATTCAAAAGTGGTATCATACTTTTCCTATTGCTTCAGCTTCCCAGTGGAAGATAGGGCACCTTCAAGCTACAGGCTTGAAGTTTTGTTAGCAGCTGTGTTTATTTTTACGGGATGGGGTTGGTAGCTCCATGTCCAACCTTCCTTCTTTACTAGTCTTATTACCGGTTTAGCAAGGTAAAGGAGTGCGTTGGCTGGGGATAGAACCCCGAACCACATGCATAGTCGGCAAGTATTCCACAGTGGTGCCACCGACGCGATATCATACTTAGGCAAACATATATACATATATAAACAACTAATATAAATATATACAATAAAATCATCTTACCTGTATTTGAAGTATTATTCGGCGATAAATGTTCACTATTAGTATTTTCAACACAATTTTGTCTTATCGTTTCACTACAAATAAATAGAAGATAAAGTGCGAGCTTTTGAAAAAATATTTACTAGGCTCTAGTCAGTCATAAATTATAAATTAATGATATGCAATAATGAAATATATCAAAAGATAATTAATACTCAATGTAATATAAATTTTGAAAAAGGACTATTCTTTCTCGATACTTCGCTCCAAAGTTATAGAAACGCCTACAAAGGCAAACTGTTAATATCGTTTGGCAATAAAACACATGAAATAACACGTCACGAAGAAAATAATTGGATTTTCCTGATTAAATAACATGAGAACTTCTATTAATTTGATGGAAATAACGAGCAAATCAGCAGATTTAGTTAACTGATAGTCTTGTCAAATATAACCAATAGACATATTGAACACAACTTTTGTTTAAAACAACTTCATTGTAAAATATATATAGAAATCTGGCGTATGAATGGAAATATACAATGTGCTATCAGTTGTTTCGTCTTCTCACGGATTCCTTCTGTGTCCTCTTTACTCCGTTGATACCTGTGTTGTATTCTTTGGAGTCTTCAGGAATATATATCATTCTCGTTTGAAGACTATTCAACAGCCAGTCAACATGACCTTCTAGTAGCGAAACAGATCTATGGATTATATTATAAATTTGTAGTAGTGGAGTATAACTGTATTTTAAAGTAACCAGTAACTTTTACAACTGGTGACCTGTATTTTTTTATAATATACGGTTTCGACATTATGCGGTTAACCCGAATTTTATTTCTGATATTTTGTACAGTAATCGAGCTCATAGTTAATTCTCTTAGAGTCTTACGCAATCTAAAAGCATTAAATGAAGAAATATCTATCAGAAATCACTATCATTAATAACTGAAAGTGTAGGGAAACAAGAATATTCCTCATAAGAGCCAAGCATTCAGAATATGTATGAAGTAAAACATTAAAGTTAAGAAAAGTAGGGAAATCGAATGATGAATATTGGATTACATAACAAATTACTGTACATCTTTAAAAAAAGAAGTTTAAAGTCACAGTAGTAAAAGAGGCTGGACAAACCGCTTTTGTATAAACAGAGTTAGGGTTTTCCTAGTAAACTGTAAAAGCTGTGGACAGAAGATTCACCTGGAATAGCTCTGGATGATTTGGTTTTACTTTATACATCACAAAATTCCAGGATTTCATTATCGTCAGTGTGAATCCAAATGATTTTCTTTGACTTTTGAGTATAAATACTATACCCTTCGGGGGCCAAATGGAACATGCAGCTTTAACAGGACATCTATACTTTCTTCTAATTGCTGCTATCCTCCTCTTCAGTTGGCTACCTCCACGATTTCCCAGAATCTCTCATCTCCTCCCCACCCTTAACACACGATCTCCTCGATGTCACTCCCCACCCTCGCACAAACGACCCACACGTCGTTTCCCATTCGGATTCCACTCGATGACCTGAAATGCAACGTCAATCATCGTTCGCCTCAGCGTACACCAAATCTATTTCCATTTTCTCTGACACATTCGTTGAAAAATAGGTTCTTCGTTAGTTCGTCCTACAGCAGAGTTTCTTGTCAGCTACCTGATCTCCGATGTGAAGCGAGGACAGCTGCTGATAAGAGTCTGCAGTGGTTGGTTGGAAATGCTATTCTTGACGCACTGGCCAAGTTTTTGACCCATATAGAAGAACTGACCAACTGACTTCACATCTGTGTTGAACAGAATCCGCTTCTTCTTCTTGCTGTTTTTGCCGGCTGGCTGCGTGAATGAGTGAGGGACAGTAGAAGATTTCTGAACTGATTTCAGGTTGCTTTTCCGATTCTGACTGACTGGGGCTTTGACATCTTCATCCGTGCTTTCCGACTGCCAGAGGTTGAAACCGTGCTTCCTAGATAAGTGAAGGAAGTAACCTCTGTGAAATCTCTCCCGTTGATGGTGATTGGTGCTGGCTGTTGTTGTTGTTGCTGTTGACATACTTGGCTTGTCCTGTTGTTAAATTCACATTTTTGTCAATGAACTTAACCTGACAACCAAGTTTACTAAGGAATTATCTGATAATCTTAAACGAGAAACCGGAACTGATGATGAAAATCTGCAATCTGTTGGAAATGCTTTTCGTGACGGTTGCGCTAAGTCTCTGGACCCTATAGAAGTATTGAATCACTTGATATTAGTATCAAAAATTAAAACATTCTTCCATGTATTGAATGCTGTAAATCTCCACTCCAATTTCAGAGTAAATATAGATTGCTTTTCTTTCCTGCTCCTGGTTTTGAAATCTTCGCTCGAGGTGTCTGTAGTTAAAACAATATTGCCGAGGTAAGTGACGATGACAGGAAGAAATTAATAATACGATATTAAATGACCAGAAGTCGTAAACAACTATTCTTAGAATTTCGATCCTGGTGTGACATGTGCTACTGATAAGATTTATCAGTAGTATATAAATAGGCCTTTCCTGGCAGATAAACATCAAATATCAGGGAGATAGATTTGATGTCAGAGAAAGCAAATGATACAAAGTTGTGAAGACACATGGGAAACGTGAAAGAAACACAAAAAAACACAATATGAAGGAAGGCCAGAAATAGCACAACACGGAAAATATGTGCAGATGATGGTTTGGCAAAGGACAGACAAAAACAATCCGTAGTTCAATTCTGTCACATTTAATTGATAGTGGTCATGTAGTCGAGAAAACGAAAGCCTTCAAAGTACTTCATCGTATCCCACCGAATCTTTCTAATAGACTTCGTATTCGTCTACTGCACACAGCTGAGACAGGTGATAGGCATTCGAACTATTAAACCTAAACTATGCATTTAAAAGAAGTTCGTGCACAGCCATTATCCCTCCCGTGGCCTAATAAGACATAAACAACTAAAGACTTCTGCACCACCCCTTATTTATATTTTCAAACCCTTTCTTATCATCCCTTAATCTTATCTTCATTATAAACGCGTTTCATTTCCTTCCCTTACAATCTAGCATTACTTAATCGGTCCATTTGTTTTACTAGCCTTTATCGACTACTTCCGCCTGAACATTAGTTTGAACATGCTGTTTTTCGTTATTCATGTTATGACAGATCGCCTCAGTTTTTCATCCTTATTATTGATAAAACCACCATTATTATTATTATTATCGTTACTACTATTATGACTAAATTGCGCAATTAATATTCACCATCTTATTATCCTATAGACAAAACACCATGATTGGTTTATATTTGAATTTTTATTTGTACAATTATGTATATCAGAGTTAAGCTTAATGAGACCTAATTGAAAACAATATTGTTCGCTTAAATGCGTTGTTCTAAATTTTGCTATGGGAATATTTAATATATTGAAAGTATTATATATCGTATTCTGTCTTCTGCAAGAATCCTGGATAGCGATGTGATATGTTAAGATTCAAATTATCGAAACTATGCAAATTGTGAAACAATAAGAAATGAAGATAAGAGAGACACAACATACATATTTAAAAAAATTGGTTCCCTTAGTGAATTTCGACAAAACAACAATAAGTAGGCATTGTTTCCCTTGGACGCGTAATATAATACTTCGCACATTCTGATCACAAACATACACACACACACTTGTGTGTAACAGGGAATAGCGGGACAAACATTAATCAATATAACTCATAGTGCATACGATTCAAAGTCATAGGTAATATATAGGAAAATAAGGCGAAGAAACAGCAGATGAAAACATTAATACGTAAAGTTAACTTCGGTTTTAATGCTGGAACTATCGAAACAGATGCAAAGTGATAAGAAGTAATTTTTGAACATATGAAACAGGTTTATGCCGTCTCATATCAGAAGCTTAGGAGGATTTAATTACGTGACGCAAACGTGTTCCCCATATGTATTTAAAGGCACTTCATCATACTTCTCTATGATATGCCACTTCTGAGATGCCGTTGAACATCTTTTCCAAGCGTTGATTGAATCAGGCGGTCTAATTTGTTCCTGTAGCAAGTTAGGAATGTGTTCTGTAGCCTTGACCTGTAGATATCGATGGGTCCTCCCTATGCATGTATAACCGCACGTATATTTGAAATGATAAACACAGTGGGAAGTGACACTTTCTTTTGGATGCTGCTTTTTTCTATGAAAATGAGTTTAGCTGTATCATTTGTTCTCTTGAATACCGTTTAGTAATCTGACATTGATGGTGACCTTTGAATGATAAGGACATGGAAATAACCAATTTGGGAACTGATTGGATTGTTGCAGCGCATTCTTCAACGCTTCTGTAGTGTTGCCAATACTTTGTGAAAAATACAGTTCCAATCTAAGATTGTTATACATTATTTTTATACTGTTTATAGTTTCAATCAAGTACCTCTTTGTATTTTCCGCGTTACACTGGTTGCTATTGACAACATTAGTAGCTTGATTCTGGACAAAATGTCCTCAGAGTTATTCATTGCATAATACGTTCTCTTTAGTATATTATGTGACGCGAGGCCGTTTGATCTGAAACACGGACTAATCCCTTGGGATATTCTCCCTTATTTACGACAAATTCACGCCGATAGTTTGAAAGTCACTCAAAAACGTGCGTGAGTACACTTGACGACCCACGGACACGACTGAACAGTTAAATAATAAGATGAAGGAAATTTCGCAATACTGAAGACTGAATAACTTTTGAAGAGTATACCAATCAGATGAAACAGTTAACCATACGAGACCTCCACTAAAATACACTTAACTACACACAATCAGTTTGTGCATAACAAAAGTTGTCGTTTCTCAGTTGAATCGAATGCAAATTATGCATATCAATAAGTAGATTGTAGTGAAACTAGTGAAAATAAATAATTCATAAAAAATAAATTTACAGTTCTTCAGGTGTACTAAATTACAAGAACATTCTTTTTGATATGTTGGCGATGATTTAATAATACCGTCGACTTGTCGGTTCAGTACTATCACCTCTCATCGATTATTTCTGACGCCTTTTCCTTACACAGAAGCCAAACAAAATGAAGACAGAAAACAGACTAGTCCCTGATAGTGGAAATAATTTCATTTTATTACGCAAAAGTGCATTATTTGACAAATATTACGTAACTATAGAAAGTCAAACCAAATGTTTTGGCTGAAAAAGGATGAGGTCGAATATTCTACCTCTGCCTAATGATTTAACTTGTCAGCTCCTATTCGATACTATCTGCGCCTGTTTTAATTGATATCAATATGTCGGATCCGGTTTTAGTTGCCTTCTATCAAACTCTGTTTCGAAACATAATTCATAGTTCATTCTGTATACATATATTGAATGAATTGATGACATAAAGCCTTAATTGTAGTGAGATCTTCATTATTTATTGCAAATATACCTAGTATTGAAGCTCCAAGGTCGATTCCAACCAGTTCAGAATTCCTCACCTGAATATATTTGATAGGAAGCAGCTGTCTGCTTAAAATTTTGAATATCGTAAACTTCCATCAATATTTACTGTATGCAACTTCTCTAATTCAGTCTGTATAAATCTGGTAAAAAATGACCACTAATGGAGTTGTTTACTTTGACGAGTATTTAAAACATTTATAACCTGCTGGTTTGCAAGTGTCCATCAAACACGTGGAAAAACATTGACTGAATGACTTCAACATGTAACTTTGCATAGATGTGCAGCAGTTCAAGTCACCACTTCTCATGTAGCACACAAAGCAAGCGAAGAAAGTGAAAATGAAATGCAAAATAGAGAAATTAAACAGAAATATGAGGCAAAAAGAATAGTAATTTCGAAGAACAATATAGTTTTGTTGGGTATTATAAGTTAGTAGGAGTGGATGCATCTGCGCCAGCCAATGACAACGATTTTCAGCCATATCACCAATTGTCGCTAGTCACCATTAGCTTTTACCATCTCAAGGACCCCAACCAGACAGTCAGGAAGTCTACACCTCCCTATGTGGCCGGCTTAAACTAGCTGTTGTGGATTTCATTGACTGTTCAAGCCATGTTTTGTTTTAACTGAGTGTTTTCTAACTTGATCCATCCTATGTCAGCTGTTAACATTGCCCATCGAGGAAGGCGATCGATGGCTAGGGATGCATGTGTAATGCATGTCCTAACCGTCTCAATCAGTGTAACTCGACAACCTCGTTGATTGATTTCCCTACCTTATCTGGCACTCTATCTATGCCTAACCTCAATATTGCCTACCCTATTATACCACTACAAACGCCAGATAGAACGCAGGGACCGATGATCAAAGACAGCTACCCTTTTCATGTCTTCCACCCTCAATGGTCAGATCCACAACCATAAAGGAGGACGGAGCGGACTGCTGAGCAGCACACACGCTCCCTGGTCAACAGCCAGTCGGATATCATGTCTACTAAGCCAGAAATGGTGTAAGGTGGTATATGCCAAAACGAGTCTTCTGTATTTCAGCTAAGATTTTGTCAGCGATCAACCGGTTGGGTCTAATGCAACTTCCCAAATAAGTGAAGCGTTCAACATGCTCTACTACTTCACTCCCTATTTCTAAGCTAGGAGTCAATTTAGTCCTATCCTATAACATCATATTATATATGATAGGAGTGAATCACATGCCGAATATTCTCAGACTGCAGCTCAAGGTGTTCAAAAGACTCTGCAGTTTATCAGCGCCTTCACCTAGAAGGAATATATCATCTGCACACTCCAAGTCAACAAGATTATTCCCTGATAAAAAGTCAATCCTTCAACGGCAACTTATCCCAATTTATAAGATAACCGTTCCTCATTGGTATCCTTTGTTCAAAAAATGGACTCCTTGAACTTTTTCCAATAATTGGCATTCAACAAAATACTGGGCATTTCTCGAAGTAGAAAAAGAAATTGATATCGCAGTAGATCGGTTTGCACTACAGTTCAGATGCAAACGTGTCACATGATCTACGATCATTTAGTGTTATATTCGTAGATCTTGGACCAAAAGAGAGACATCATGAACACTGTTTAGAATAAAACTAGTATTGTTATTTGTAAGTCAATGGGCTGCTGATGTGAAAGTGTTTATTTCTCAAATTTGAACCAAGTCTATGGTACGGACGCGAAACAGCCTCTTTGGACAACTTCTATTCTCATCGTCTTACCTCTAGCAAGTCTCTAACCACCAATCAGAATATTTTATTTTTTGCTGCTCAGACAAAAATGTATAAACACGATGTGGTTCTCCTTTAATATATGTTTGTAACCTAAAAGTCACAGGTCAGTATTTGTCTTTTGATATTCACATTGGCTCAATGAAGCGGAAGGTACTAAGGATGAATTATTCTCATCCAGCATCTCAGTTAAGTTGTTTATAGCGTTCTGTGTTAGTATAAGAGCGTTTAATTCCACTCAGTCATTTGAATGCATCGAATAACCTATTGTAATTTGGTATATAACACATTTTAAATGTTGAACGCAATAAATGGCTTGTTCAAATCTCAGTAAGGATAATAATCATCACTGGTATATAATTAACACTGTACTGATGAGGCTCAAGCTTGAAAATATTTTTTTATTTTTATTTTTTGATTACAGCTTGATTCCACACTGTGTTTTTGGTACAAGTATGGAATTTTCAGCGTGGATATCGGTAGCCCAAAATTCGTAGGCCGACCATAGATATCAGGTGTGCGTCGGCGTGGGCTCGAACCTCGGACCATGTGCATACATCTTCTGCACAAAATTACCTACATTATCAATTATCAAAAATTACATATATATAAAAGCATAGTGGAAAAGAAGATTACTCCAAAGTGCTAAGAAATTTTGATAGAAAATTATTATTTTAAGCTATTTTTTTTGGGCTGGAAAAAAGCGGCAAAGTTAAGCTTTAAGCACCACTAACTACCAATCAGTGAATGACTTTGAACGCACCAATCACATGAAGGAGGCATTTTTGTGTATGGAATACACATATATTTATGAAAAAGAGGATGCATGAAAACTGTACAAAAGTGTTACAGAAGATACCTTCCTCTCACATTTGATAAAAAAATAGCTCTCAGTTTCAAGTTAGAGTATCAACAGAGTATAATTCCAATGTGGGTGAAATTTATTTTGATAAAGTCTCATAGTGTAATGAGGTAATGTTTACTGGGTAATACATTGTGCTCCAAACTTCATCAGTAGATATTACTGTCTAACAAACACTGTGTGACTTCATCAAAATAAATGTTACCCACAATGAAATTATACTCTACCAACAAAGTGCACAAGTTCTATTCTTATATCAACAGGGCAATTTAACCACATGCTATGCATGTAATTATTTAAGTCTTCTAGCCCTAACAATAACCCTAATCTTTCCTTAACCTAACTTTAACGTGAAAATATCCCTAAACTAACTGTAATCTAACTCGGACCAACCCTAATGTCGTCTTTATTAGTTTAACCTTACACCAACTTGTCTTTGGCTTAAGGTGTAACTTAATTTTTCCCAAACCTAAGCTGAAACTTTCCAGATATCCCATAAAATAGCATAATACTTTGATGAGCATATTTTATTGATCATGACAACATTATTTGCCAGGTTTCACAAAGTTGCTCGATGCACGTTTCAAGGTTATTGGTGCGGCCGCACTCCACTAGTAGTTAGTGATGCTTAAAGTTTAACTTGGCCTCGTTTTTTTTATATACACATGATGCTATAAACTACTGATTGATTGACACATGTAGTTAGATACAGATGACATCGACCGGAAGTAATTGCTAGTCTAATCTACACACCGGACAACTCTTTCGTTTCACTTGTGGCCAAGCTCACCATCAGTGCACCCGGTGTAAGTCAGCTATGAGATTGCTGAATAAGCTGAAACCAACCAAATTCTAACTAGCTAGTCGGGTTAACTGATAGTAGGCTGTTTATTTTTACAATAATAAAAAAAGAATCAGACACTCACTTTATCGAATTATCCTTTAACGAAGTTGTATACGTGGGATCAGTTGTATCCAGCTAAAAAAATGAATGCAAATAAGTAAATAAATGACTAACTGAGATAGCTTTGCATTGATTAAATGTTATTTTCAATTGTTAAATTTTCAGGTGATGGTTTGTAGGGATTTGATTGGTTTCAGGATTTCATCATGAGCTGACATTAATTAGTGAACCATTGGAAAACCTGGGAGTACTGGACAGCTGTTTCGCCCGTCCTAGTTTGTGACTCTTCGGCAGTACGCACCCACCGGGATTCGAACCCAGGAACTTTTGGTTACAAGTCTAGCGAGCTCGTAGACCATTAAGCCACTGGGACCCGATCCAATGGTCCTTGAATTCTAACTTCTGCCAATTCACGACATAGCGTGACCCTAGCCAATGTCTTCAACAAGTATTTGTCCTCACACCCGACCTGCTGCACCCTACTGGTCACGACTTCCCACTGGAACCCAGGTAACTACCTACCTGAATAGGGCCAGTCGCCAGTGAGCATCTCATTGATATTCAAGTATTGGTTTGTAGGAAGGTCCTGGGTTCGAATCCCGGTGGGTGCGTACTGATGAAAAGTCACAAACTAGGACGGGGGAAACAGCTGTCCAGTACTCCCAGGTTTTCCAATGGTTCTCTAACTAATGTCAGCTCATGATGAAATCCTGAAATCAATCAAATCCCTACAAACCAACACTTGAATACCAATAAGATGCTCACTGGTGACTGGCCCTATTCAGGTAGGTAGTTACCTAGGGTTCCAGTGAGAAGTCGTGACCAGTAGGGTGCAGCAGGTCGGGTGTGAGGACAAATACTCGCCGAAGACATTGGCTAGAGGTTGAGCTATGTCGTGAATTGGCAGAAGTTAGAATTCAAGGACCATTGGATCGGGTCCCAGTGGCTTAATGGTCTACGAGCTCGCTAGACTTGTAACCAAAAGTCCCTGGGTTCGAATCCCGGTGGGTGCGTACTGCCGAAGAGTCACAAACTAGGACGAAACGGCTGTTAAATTTTCGTCAAGAACTACCATCAGCTAGAGAGAACATTAATAACCACGAAGTACTGGACAGTTGTTTCTTCTGTACCTCTTCCCCCGGGGATCGAACCCAGATCCTCCAGCTTATGAAACCAGACACTTAGTGCAGAATTCTAACACTGTCAACTCGTGAGATAGTGCCACCCACAAGCATCTACTTCACATTAACATAGTTGACCCCACTGGTTACGACTTCCCACTGAAACTTCAAAACATCCATCTCTAAGCAATCATGCATCGTGACGAATTTCTAACAATCAAAATTAATCTGAAATCCACGCAAATCCTATGACCAGACTGTTATTTTACCAAAATAGGTGATGATTGAAGGTTAAATGAAGAACTAGTAGTTTGAAACCCTCTAGCAGTGCATATACACGACCGTAATACTGATCGAGCTCGAGGCCTTCAAGTTATGAGACCAGCTAGTTGATCATACATCAACTTGTATTGTATTGGAATTTCTGTCAGTTAGTGATATAGCCCTACGGCTAAAGGATATCACTGATGAGCAACCAAATCGTCTTAGTATGAATGACAGATCAAGGCAGAATTCAATCAGAACCCAAACCTATCCATCCCCTCCCCCACTAGTTAACTGATTGAAACCAACGTGAATGTAATACGTATTTGTATAACGCAAATATTTTCTGTTTTCTTCACACTTCATACACATGCTGAAAAACTATGGTTGAGCTATACTATATATAAGTTGAGATTTTGTAAATATCGACTTAATAGTGCTTTGATAAAGATATTAGAAGCATTTAACAGCGAAAGCCTAGTGAAAATAATATTGATTTATTTCTTTCATTCTTTAAGAAATACGAACACTTTTATAATTAATGCATACCATACACCGAATGGACACAGTTTCTTTCAAACAGTCTTTTTTTATGTTGTTACTCCTGAAAATAAAGTGTGCTATATTGACTGTTTCTTTTACGTTTTACGCTTTTTGAACCTCAATTATGCTAACCTCATTTGCCTTAATCTGCACATTCACCCGTCCTTTTATTTTTCATCCTAGATTATTTGTGAAACACCTCTGCTGTCACCTTCCTGATTAATTGTGACAGTAGTTATGACGGCATTTAACACAGACACTTCACCATTTAAAGTTTGGAAATTTTGGTTTGAACTGGTGATAGTGACTACCAGTGAAATTCAGGATGCATGTTTCGTTAGCATTTGGGACTTGCTATATGGATTTATCCGTATCTGCAGAGTGATGATATCCCTGCTAGAACTTGGTCCAGCATAATCAGTGTGGATGGGCAGTCCATATTAAGCTACAAAAATCAATACTTTGTAAACATTCTTGTCATTTCCTCTTATCTATTGGATTTTACGCGCATTTCAAGCATTTGGTTAACATAAGCAAAAACTTCACTTTTTAATAATTGTCCTAGATTTTTCAGAAGAAATCTTCTCCACGTACTCCTCACGCTTACATCGGTTCTGCATCCATGATTAATATTGGTTTGGAAACGAAAGCTAATATCGAAGTCATTTGAATCTTTACAAAACACAACACTTGAAGATAAGTTGAAAAAAAGAAAGGAGAGTAGAATGACACATTCACTTACCTCCTCATTAATTTTTATATTATCTGTGGAAGTCTTTAAATCCCAAATATCTGAATCATCCTAAAGGAATGGAGAATAAATCAAACAACTATCAACCTCTATGAATTAACAGATGCAGACATTAATATAATAGAGTTATGTAGATGAGGTAATTTTTTTAAATGTTGTCGCGTTATCTGACCTGGATAGCTACACCGTAGAGCTTCAAAACACCAAAAGACATAAATATCTACAAAACCAAATAGATGATCACTGATGTAGTTAATTAAATTTACAAATGACATCAATAGAAGAAATAAAACTGGTCAAGTTAACCTTTAAGCATCACTAAATAACAATAGAGTGCGACGCCACCTTGACCTTGAATGCTTCAATGAGTTTTATTCACTTGATTCGAAGCTTTTATTCCACTTGATATTGGCCAAATGCCTACTCTAAAGCTGTAAAGTTTGCAATTAGGTGAGGCCGAAGTCTTCTAGTATTGCTTAGATGTGGGGTTGATTAGGAAAGAAAGGATTTGTTCAAGTGGTGGTGTGATGACCATGAAAAGCTTCAGCAGGTCTGTTGATGGACGCATGTATCGTTATGCAATTTGTCTGAGACGAGTCAGTGTCAGGGCAGGTAAACTGACGATTCTAATATTTCGTAGGAACATGTTTTACTAGATCCCTTAACTCAGATTTTGTGTATTTGTAATTACTGGGTTTTAAAACAGCCTGCGATAGGTGCAGCCGCTGAAACTGAAAATAGTCTCCTATCAACAGTTCACTGGTACCAGCACTGAAAGGATATCACATTCTGAAAAATGGAGAGGCTTAATTCCTTATTGGGATGAGAAGGTGTCATCACACATATAGATGAAACTATCTTATTGAATAAAAAATACAAACGTGGACGAGAACGAGCTAATAATGTTTGGTTGATTCGTTTAAATTATACCTCTCTACGGAAAGAATTCGTCAAGAGGATAGCATACAGAAAGTCAAGTCCTTCAATATCTAATAGTACTCGACTGGTGAAACAAGGATCTCCAATACACACTAATGAGTACAAAGGTTATAACTCCCTATCATCCCTTGGATATATTCACCACAGAGTCAACCATTCTAATGACTTTTTGGGTCTCATTACAGAGGAACTACAACAATTCTATCGAAGGCTTTTAGGGAAGGTTATAAAAAAGGGTTAGAGCCATTAATGGGTAGCAAAGCGATGTTATTTATAGTCATTTAGATGAATACATGTATAGGATGTGGTGTAACATTTCCATCGATACTTCTATGCTTAACTGGGAGACGTTTGTTATCACATATGAGAGAAATGTATCCTATGCGACACTTCTATTCAGTTTTCAGGCATTTTTCATAAATATATGTGTATTCCACACACAAAAATGCCTCCTTCATGTGATTGTTGTGTTCAAAATCATTCGTTGACTGGTAGTAGTTAGTGGTGCTTGAAGTTTAACTTTGTTTGCCCTAATCTGTCCTAATCTCACGTCAACAACAACAATAACACCGCTGGCACACAATGACAAAAGAAAAGACTGGACATGTTAAATATATATATATATATAACGCTTAACTCACTTGATCATCAGACGAATCACTACTTGATTCAGCCATTGATGGCATTGTATACATTGGCCCAGGAAGCTTTCTTTTTTCAAGCATTTCCAACCGACTACTCTCTTCATTATCAGTAGAATTTATTGAATATTGTTGATTTTGTAGTTGCTGTTGTTGTTGCTTGAAGCCAGATGAATCAAACGAATCAGTTTGTGAAATCTGTTCATCAGGTCGTTGTTTCGGTTTATTTTCACGTACAATTCTCTTTAGTTGAATTGCATTTTTCAACAGATCTTCCATACTTTTCGGTGGATCATATAAGGTGTTGAGATTAGAAATTTTGTCAGAAGTAGGTTTAGGGAATTGCCTATGTATCATTTGATAATTATTTACATTTTCTAAATATTTATGAATAAAATATAAACAAGAAAAGGGGAACATAGAAGAAACGTATAATTAAATATATGAACAACTCAAAACTGTGCGAGAGATATTATGATTGTTCTGAGTACGTGCGTGTGTGCTTGCGTGTATGTGTGAAATACTTTACACCGGAAATAAATTATCTGCCTAAAATGTTTGATGATGAGAACTCTAGTTACGTTTATATATAACGCTGTAAAGTGAAAACACTTAGCTCACTCTTAGATGAATACAAAACACCAAAAGGACTCAAAAATGAGGAATAAAGACATTTGTTTACTCTTTATAATTCATGGATAATCCCCATCCAGGCATTAATGAAAACAAAACACGTAGATCAGCGAAGAGTCTCTTTTCGGCGAATTCATTTTCTTAGCTGTACAATCGCAAATATATATGCATTGTTTTGTATGTATGTGTACATTAAGTTTGTCAAACAAAGTTACAATTGGTTAAGGTTACTTTTAACTTTATAAGTTAACACCATCATCTTGTCAGATGCTTGAATGTCTGTTTTATTAGATGGCTGACTGCATACTTCATAATTCTGAAAAGTGATAATTTGCCATTCGAGGAGGACTACTACTGACATTAGTTAGAGAACTTGCCCTATTCCGGTAGGTAGTTACCTGGGGTTCTAGTGAGAAGTCGTGACCAGTAGGGTGCAGCAGGTCGGGTGTGAGGACAAATACTTGTCGAAGACATTGGCTAGGGGTCACGCTATGTCGTGAATTGGCAGAAGTTGGAATTCATGGACCATCTGATCGGGTCCCAGTGGCTTAATGGTCTACGAGCTCGCTAGACTTGTAACCAAAAGTTCCTGGGTTCGAATCCTAGTGGGTGCGTACTGCCGAAGAGTCCCAAACTAGGACGGGGGAAACAGCTGTCCAGTACTCCCAGGTTTTCCAATGGTTCTCTAATTAATGTCAGCTCATGATGAGATGTGATAATATAAGCATAGTAGAAGCTGTGTTCGAGAGAGAGGAATAAATAACGTAATACTTGGGATGGCTGATATTAGATGGCTGGAGGCAATTAGTAGAAGGAAGCTGTTGACTAAAGCGTATTTAAAACCTCAAAAGAAACTGATATCCTCTCTGAGATTCGAGCCTATATCAATCAGTTCTGTAGCTAGAGGCATCACTAGTAAAACATTCGAGGTCATTAAGAAGTGACCAATGCAATCTGTCTGGTCCCCCAACCATTTAAGACCAACTGCACCTGGGTGACCATTTTGGAAGCCTGATTAACAAAATCCAGTTAGCACCAACACCGAGGACCAGACACTTGACATTGAGTACTCCGTAATAACCAATGGATATACTTAATATCACCGTACACTGATTCAGTTTGTTATGCTCTCTATGACGAATATAAAGTAAAGTCACAGATTTGGTCATTTAGAGAACCATTGGGAAACTAGAATGTGCAGGAGAGTCACTTCGCCCTAGTTTGGTAGTCTTCATAGCTCAGAGCCTTACTGTTTTCAGCCATTGTTATTGATGAGTAATTATCCTCTTACCTTACTTAACGTACTTAGCTGGTTTCTAATTCTCATTGGTACTTCAGGTAACTTCCTGTAAAGAGTCAGTACCTGGTGAGCCTGAAGAGTCCAGAACTAGGAAGAATGGTTCTCTAACTCACCTCAGTTCTTGATTAAAAAACATAGAACCAATCAAATCCCTGCAGAACAACACTTGGACAGGAAGCCAATAGAAAAGTAATGACATCAGTGGTCACCACGGAAATTACAAACACAAATAAAAAGGGTTTTCAGTAGAATGTTTAAGGATAGAATACAATTCAGTCATATAACTATCTATTTCGCTTGTCTCAAAAGCCCCCTGTAAGAGTTCTGAACATTCCTGTATGCCCTGAGACAAATTTCACACACCTAAGAAAAGAGAATATGCTAATCACCTTTGAAAAAGCAGTTTAGATAACGCATGAATTTTGATATTCAGGTGCTGGTTTGCAGGGATTTGATCATGAACTGACACCGGTTAGGGAACCATGGGAGTACTGGACAGCTGCTTCGTCCTAGTTTGAGACTAATCAGTAGCCCCCCCCTGAGGTTCGAACCCAGGACCTTCTGGTTACAGGGCCATCTCGTATACCAATAAGCCACTGGGACCCGAATCACTGTCCAACCCATGAATTCCAATTTCTCCCTGAATCCAGCCAAATCCCTCCAAACCATCACTTGAATGCCAATTTGATCCTTACTAGTGACTGGCCCTATTCTGGTCGGTAGTTACCTGAGTTCTAGTGAGAAGTCGTGACCAGTGGGGGACACACAGGTCGAATGTGAGGACAAACACGCCACCGATAACATTCACTAGTGCAAGTTGCGCTATATCGTGAATTAGTAAAAGCTGGGAATCCAGTAGCTTAATGGTCGACGAACTTGCCTTGTAACTGAAAGGTACTGGGTTCGAACACTAGTGGTGGGTGCATAATGATGAAGATTCCCAGACTGGATCGAAACAGCTATCCAATACTTCCAAGTGGTTTTCCAATGGTCTTGTGACCGATAACAGCACATGATGAAATCATGAAATGAGTTTTGCTTCACCCTTATCAAATCTAACCCTACACTATGTCTAACCTAACATCAACCTATCCCTAACTAACCCTAGTATCTCTTTAATTGAATTAACAACCCTAACCTATTGCTGCCAAGACAAATCTTTAATCATTCCTCAACCTAACCTAGAAGTAACCAGATGTCCTCCAGCTTAATATTGTTACATTTCATTCAACACCTTTTTTCGTACATACAGTGTTTTTTTTTTACCTGATTTCACCATCTTACTATAACAGGGAGCTCCAAGATAATTTGTGCGTTCGCGCCTATCAGATATCTAAAGTTCAACTTCACCAAGCTTGAACAAACAGTCAAGGACTTCATGAATAAGTGGCCTATACTTGTTGGATCACTAACTCCTACTTTCCAGTTTAGTTCTGTAGCAGTTAGCATATCATAGATGAACATACAGTAAATAATTACAAACAAAAGAAGGTGTAAAAATCACTTACCATCATTCAAATTAATAGAATGAATAAAATTTAATGCTCTATACTGATCTGTTTGTTCATCAGACCATATATGAAACGTGATTTGTGCTAAATTACGCTGATACCAGATGGCTTTATCACCAATTTGTTCAGGATCATGTATACCAGCATGAATTCTTTGAAATACTTCATTCTCTGGATATAAACACCATTCAGCGAAAAACTCAACTGCCTATAGACACAGAGAAAAAAGGGAGAGGAAGAAGAAAGCCAGTGAGGTAGGAGAGTTTTCAACCAAAACAACAGCCCCCAATGACAGAGATTTGACAGATGTTACTTCCTTCACTTATCTGGCCGGGAAGTACGATTTCAACCGCAGGCAATCGGACAGCACGGATTAAGATGTCAAAGCCAGACAGCCAAAATCGAAAAGGCAAAATATGCCTTCATCAACCTGAAGCCAGTTTGGAAATCTTCTGCTTCACTCCACCTCAGCACAAACAACTAGACTCGGATTCTGTTCAACACAAATGTGAAGTCAATCAGTCAGTCCTTCTATAAGGGTCAGAAACCTGTACTTCACTCACATCCCGAAACGCATTTCCAGCAAGCTACTGCAGACTTATATCAACAGTTGCTACCATCGCTGGCTGTCTAGCTTCATACTGAAGGTCAAATGGCCGGCCGGCCGGCCGATCAGCCAGAAGAAATTAGCAGCAAGAAACTCAGGCTAGTAACAAACCAACACGCGAGATTCGATCGCTCAACAAATATGCACGAGAAAATAGAGATGGATCAGACATACACAACTGAGGAGGCCGTCGAGTGACATCGCGCGCAATGCAGGCTATTGCTCGAGAGGAATGCCAATAGGAAGTGACTAGTAGGTCGTGTGTTTGGGTGGAGAAGATGAGAGATTCTGGGCAGTCGTGAAGCTATCCAGTTGAATTGGACAAGAGAAAACAGAACAAAGTGGAGAAGTGTTGTTGAAGCTCTATTTTCCACTTTGAACCCAATGGAATAATAAAATAAATATGATAGATTTTAAGGCAGTCATCTAGTGGAAGACATTTTTCCAACGTTTAAGGTTTTATCAGTAAAAGCTATTTAAATTGTTCAGACTTATAAGTAGTCACTGCTTCGAAGAATTCAGTGGTGGAGTACTCACCAGGAGTTCCGGGTTCCCTTTCCGACAAATGAATCACTAAACCACGCCTAGCTGATAGTACTACAAGAAGAAAAAGAAAGGTTGGGCGTGAGTCTGTCCTAAGATAGAAAACTTACCCTATTAAAAACAATACCAGTCCGTTTACAATTTGACTGCTATGAGAACTCGCTCAACCTAACGCTGCTCCATATTAGAAGCTAGAAACTAAAATAAATACTCATTTATTATTGTTCCCTTGATCTCTGAGTGGAACACAGGGTTTCAGTAGCAGTTCTGCATTTCACTCTTTTCCCTGCATTCTTTCAAGCTAACTCAAAACCTGTCTTTCATTCCTCACGCGATCTCCTCAACATCATCCTCGGACTTATGTCTAACTCATCATTTACCTTTTAAGCTTCATTCGAGGACCTAGCGCATGATATAACTCAACCACATCCGGAAAGCATGCTCCATCCATCTCCCTCTTGCCTGACACATGTTTTGGGGTTGTTCGTTTTCAGAGTTTTGTCAAACTCCGCAGTAGGCTACTGAAAAAGCTTTTCTTAAAGTATGTCCCAAGTCTCTACACAGTATAAAAGCAATGAAATGACGTCAGTGTCTCATATCCAGATCTTGCTTTTTATGTTGTGTGCAGCAGATTTCAGCGGGGATTTTAGACTACTGGCTTTTTCGATTCTGCTTTTGATACTTTCCTCCGTGGTGTCTGTAGTTGAACCGTTACTGCCTGGGTGAGTGAAAGATCTCTTCCAATGATGGTGGTCGGTGCTTAGTTACGTGTCCATCATAAGTGAGAGAAAATGCAGTAGAGTATTCGATGCTACTTTAATCCTGTAAAGATATTATAAATCGCATTCTTCACCGCATATCTATTCCTCGACATTTAATGACAGACATGACTTTGTTCATTGTTATGTTAGAACTCAGTTGTTAGGGACAGATTTATAATGTGTCAGACTCTGAATCACACTTAATGTGAGTCCTAGTGATAACACTCAGATATCTGGGCAGGATTAAGCGGAGTGGAAGTCGAACCCAGTGCTGACTGGTGTAAAATTCAGTGCTTAAACCAACCGGTCACATTTTCACTACATTAAACTTTACCTGGGTATCAAATTTTCAACAAATTCAACTAACGGATGTTCACTAGAGACTAGTTGTATTCAAGGTAAGTAGTTACATGAGTTCTGGTGAGAAGTTGTGACCAATGGAGTACAGTAGACAGGAAGTAAGGACAAACACTCGCCAGCAACGACAATGCCTAGTGGTTGCACTATATCGCGAATTGGCAGAAGTTGGAATTCATGGACTGGCTATTGGATAGGTTCCCAGTATCTTGATGGTCTACGACCTCGCTTTGTAACCGGAAGGTACTGGGTTCGAACCCTATAGGTGGGTGCATACTGATGAGAAGTCCCGAACTAGACTGATGAAGTTCATTCAAAGCAGCAGTATTTATGATTGGTGTGAGTGTTATTCAACTGCTTATTTTAGTCAGTCAGTAAGTATATAGCTTTGTGCACAGCGTAGAACACACTCAGGAAAACAATATCAGTCGTTCAGTAGAAAAATAATTCCCACAAACCAGGCGAGACTTCCTAGTTAGATTCCCTCTCGATGCATCCCTATTAAACCTCAGTCAGCCGATAGTAAACCCAGGAAAGAAAGATAGTTTGACATGTGGCTCCTTGAGAACAAAATCATCACAAGTGGAAATTCAGAACTCAAAGCTTTAAGCCACATATATTTCACTTAGTATGCATGGAATAAAATAACCACCTATTTGCTTCGCCAACTTAACCATCGGGTTATAAATCAAACAGTGGGGCAATTTTGAAAGTATTCGATTAAAAAAAAAGTAATTAGGTACGTAACGTTAGTGGTTCAAGCTACTCATTTTATTTGATTTTTGATTTACAGCTTGATTCCACACTGTATTTTTGGTAGAAGTATGGAATTTTCAGCATGGATATCGGTAGCCCAAATTTTGCAGGCCGACCATAGATATCAGGTGTGCGTCGGTGCGGGCTCGAACCCCGGGCCATGTGCATGGTGAGCGAGAGTCCTAACCACTGTGCCACCGACGCATGTCAATATATACACATACAGACATACATACTTTCGCCTTGCTGACGAGTGCAAACAAGAACAAAACCTAGTTCCAAGGCTTCCTGCTGATTGCTTTCCAACCATCTAACATCACCAGTTCAGAGCGCACCGTGATGGCGAGTGGCATGTTGGCCACATTGCGAATTTGACTTATAGAATTCAGTTTGCACCAAAGATGGGACTAGACACAGTTACATCAGTTACTGACTAGTCTCCAATCAAGAGTATCCAATCACAAGCCAGAATAACTCAGTGTTAACGTCTCTGACTGCAGTACTAAGTGGGTGACGCGGTTTCGAATCTCACAAGGGTTGTAGATATGCCTTGCTGACACTGGTGAGCTCCAACTAGCACGAAACCTAGGTTGAGCAAGGTTTTCTGTGGCCGATTGCCTCCAACCATCCAATATAGACATACATCTACAAAGTTTGGTAAATTTACATAACCAAAATATCCCTAAAACAGATACGACCCAGTGTAGTACATTATAAAAAGCAATGCCTGTAAAGTAATTACAGTTTATTATTCCACTATTCCAAATTTTTCTACCATGAAATGAAGTGAAATAATTTATTTTATTATTATCACTGGTTAGCATCCATCTTTAAGGAAATAGATAATTATTTCTCTATTTAAAATTAAATAATTTAATTGGTTTCGTTCAGATATGATCATGATTTCGGTTGTGTTTCTCCCTCCCTCCCTGTCTCTGTCTAAATATTTGACAAGCAAGTGAAACAGAAACAGCGCTTTAAAGCTTTTGGATTCATTAATAAGAGGGAGAGAATGGCTATAATTAGCGCAAAGAATTAATTCTCAGTCAAATGACTGTCAAACAAACGGTACAATTTGAAATATTCACTATTTATTTAGCCATTAGCGTATAAACAAGGAACAGCGTTCATAGTTTGTAAGTAAAAGGAACCTGAATTAGATTGGTGAATGCCACTACGATTTCAATTTCAACTGACTAAAAATACCCATTAAAATTTTTAGAATGAATGGTTACTGAACAAGGAATACTCTTGCAATTAATAGTGTTCTCTGAGCTGGTTGGTTTAGTTGTGGGGCTTTCGTCATCCTTCTGGACAACATCCCGCTTCAGTGCAATATTTGGCATAAAGTGAAATGATTTAAATTTCTTCATGAGTGGCGATATAATTGCGTCTCCCGGTAACTATGTTTACATATGTATTGAACATTTTCTATTGACTTGAACTTTCTGGTCAAATGGGATAATGTCGAAATCTTAGACAAAGAAAACGCCAAAAAGCCAGGGAATTCCTAGAAACCTGGTACTCAAACGAAAATGCAATTAACAAACACGTTAATATAGACTAAATATACTAACTAATAAAAAGTAAATCAGGTGACCAGAAAGTTTAGAATCCAAGTCAATAGAAAATGCTCAATACATATGTAAAGATGGTTACTGGGAGACGCAATTCAATCACTCAGGGAAAGAATTTAAATCATTTCACTTTATGCTAAGTAGTGCGCTGAAGCGGGATGTTGTCCAGAAGGACGACGAAAGCTCTGCAACTAAACCAACCAGCTCAGAGAACACTATTAATTGCAAATCATCCACCTGAGCTACAAATCTTCTCTATTATTTCAAAGAATACTCTTTTCGATAACGCCTTCTTCATCAGGTTCCACAGTTATGTATACATAAAAGTGAATGAATCAGTCTTATTAACAGCATTAATGTTTAAATAACATCGAATCAATAATAATATCAGTGGATTGCAGTTCGACAGCATCAACATAACAATACACACTGAATATTAGAAAAGATAATAATCCAAATTCATGAATTTACAGTCTCTACTGAAAGCTGTCCAGGACACTAGTAGTGGTTGGACTTGCTTCTTCTGCATACAGAGCACCGATTGTTTCAGGCGAATCGCGATAACCTCTGCTGTCTGAAGTATACGGTACCTGGATGTTTTTGATCA